GGAAAAAAAAATCCCATTTTGAAATTGTAATAATACTAATAATATTGATAATAAAATACCAACAAAATAATACTAATATCGTATAAACAATTTTGATTTGATATCGATATTACGTTAGAATTTAGAAATTGAATATAATGAAAACAAACAATTATTCTTTTGCTCTACATATGTATGTACGAAGTCTAGTGTGTGTGTGTGTTTGCTGTTTGGGGAATTGGCAGAATTTCCGTTAAATATTTCGATGATATCATCTTTTATAATTTAAAAAAATTTTCTTTTGTTTTTTTCTTACAATACATTTTTTTATACCCTACACCACTTTAGTGGGGAGGGTATATTGGATTTGTGCTGATGTTTGTAACATACAAAAATATTCGTCCTAGACCCACCTTAAAGTATACCAATCGGCTTAGAATCGTTTTCTGAGTCGATTAAGCTATGTCCGTCCGTCCGTCCGTCTGGCTGGCTGTCCATGTAAACCTTGTGCGCAAGGTACAAGATAATTGGATGAAATTTGGCACGCACGTTTTATTTGACCTATTGAAAATGGTTAAAATCGGTCCATTATTTCACCTAGCCCCCATAGAACAAAACCTCCGAAAAGGGCTTCTGAGCAATGAAATTCAGCACAATAAAATATTATGTCAATATAAATATATTCACAAAATTTTATCGGGCTTGGTCCATATTTGCCCCTAGCCCCCATATAAAGCCTCTTTCAGAAAATTAGTTTTTCATCCATAAATTGCTTAAATGTATCGGAATAAGGGAATATTGAAGATAAATGCTTTATTATGAAAAATAAATCAAAAATAAATTCATAACTGGTGTAGGGTATCATATGGTCGGCCACGCCCGACTATAATTTCTTACTTGTTGCTTTTCATAATTTGTTGTTATTTTTTTTTGAAATATTTATGAATAAATGAATGAATGTGTGGTGTAGTAGGTTCTGTACTATAGACTGATAAATTTTCATATCACTGCAGTTTTCTTTTTTTATAGTAGAAATTTTATTATTATTTAATGTTATTAAAAAAAAGTTGTCAAAACATAATTTATTATTTTATTATCAAAACGAATATAGATAACAGTCGGTACATCAATTATTCAAATTAATATTACCAAAGGCGCACGTTTTCGAAAGATCGAATTACCAGTCCTGGGATATACTTTTTATTCTTCGAGGTTGTTGACAGTAAATTGTTTTAAAATGTTTTCCTCTTAAACACTATAATTATTTAAATCTATTTTATTATTTTAACCATTTGTTAAAACAAACTATTCATTAATTTTGTTTAACACCAAATTTGTTTAATGTTATTTAATCTATTCATTCTAAAGATAGCATTCGATAACGGAGTTTTGAGTTTCGTTCTAAACAATTTGTAAAATAAACAATATAGAAAAAAAAAACAACAACAAAACAAATACTGTGTCTACACATCATTTTAATGGTGATTAAATAATAGACAAAATTTTATTGGCATATTTGTTATTTCTTTATTTTTAACAATAAATATTCGCATAAATTATTTAAATGTTTGGCAAGAATTTCTATAGAAAATGTATATTTTTATCACTTTTGTTTTTGACAAAAAAATAAAAAATAATAATTATAATACACCGAGTCGGAGATTATGGGGGTTCAATACGGAAAAATATTAAAGGATTTTTTTTGCAATATTTTATTCAAATTCAAATCTAGAGCTACATATATTTAAATTCTCAATAAAATTTCTGAAACTCTGTTTTTTGGACATTAATCCTAAAAATTATACAATCAGTGTTCGTGAAAGCCTGACAATGATAAATAAAGCTCTAAATTCCTCTGAATCCGCAAGTCCAATTTTGTATTGCAGCGCCCATAATCTTGTAAGTCCATTCAGAGTACCATCATACTAATCTCAGATTTGGTCATTTTGTGGAGGCTTCTCGTCTTGCTCTCGTTAGGGTCATCCGATCGTTTCATTCCAAGAGGCCTTATATTAAATGCTGCCCTCGTAGCGTTAAATGGTTATACGTTCGTCTGGTTAACTATCTCGAACTTCTTTCCCTATTACATTCGTTCTTTTATTGCCGACTACTCCCAAGTGGTCTGTTACCCATCTGATGTAAACCTTACCTCTGAAAAAGTATTCGGGTAGAACTTTCTTATAATCCATTTCGTTCTAAGATATAACATTATCTCCTGATAACGCCCAAATTGCCTTCTATCTGTCGGTAAATATATTATTTTAATCCAATTTACGCATTTTGTTATTGCTCGGACTTCTGCCTGGATGCTAGTGCTGTGATTAGTTGGAATATATCTATTTCTGGGTTTTCAATGAAGAACCCCATGCCCTCCTCTTTGTCGCCCTATTTTAGAGCCATCAGTGTATCAACGGATTCCTGCGAGTATTTTCTCTAATGTTCCGCTTGATCATGACATTCTATCTGGGATCAGTGTGTATAGCCTTAGTTAGTTAGTTAGTTAGTTAGTTAGTTTTTTAGTTAGTTGGTTAGTTAGTTAGTTAGTTAGTTAGTTAGTTAGTTAGTTAGTTAGTTAGTTAGTTAGTTAGTTAGTTAGTTAGTTAGTTAGTTCGTTAGTTTTTCGTTAGTTAGTTAGTGTTCGTTCGTTAGTTCGTAGTTTTAGTTCGTTCGTTTTTCGTTAGTTCGTTTCGTTCGTTCGTTCGTTCGTTGTTCGTTCGTTCGTTCTTCTCTGTTCGTTCGTTCGTTCGTTCGTTCGTTCGTTCGTTCGTTCGTTCGTTCGTTCGTTCGTTCGTAGTTCGTTTCGTTCGTTCGTTCGTTCGTTCGTTCGTTGTTCGTTCGTTCGTTCGTTGTTCGTTCGTTTAGTTCGTTCGTTCGTTCGTTCGTTCGTTAGTTCGTTCGTTCGTTCGTTCGTTTCGTTCGTTCGTTCGTTTAGTTCGTTCGTTGTTCGTTTTCGTTCGTTCGTTCGTTAGTTCGTTTCGTTCGTTCGTTCGTTCGTTTCGTTCGTTCGTTCGTTTTCGTTTCGTTCGTTCGTTCGTTTTTTCGTTCGTTCGTTCGTTCGTTCGTTCGTTGTTCGTTCGTTCGTTCGTTTCGTTCGTTCGTTCGTTCGTTCGTTCGTTCGTTCGTTCGTTCGTTCGTTCGTTCGTTCGTTCGTTCGTTCGTTTCGTTCGTTCGTTCGTTTTCGTTCGTTTCGTTTCGTTCGTTCTTCGTTCGTTCGTTCGTTGTTCGTTTCGTTCGTTCGTTCGTTCGTTCGTTCGTTCGTTCGTTCGTTCGTTCGTTCGTTCGTTCGTTCGTTCGTTCGTTCGTTCGTTCGTTCGTTCGTTTCTTCGTTCGTTCTTCGTTCGTTCGTTCGTTCGTTTTTTCGTTCGTTCGTTTTCGTTGTTCGTTCGTTCGTTTCGTTCTTCGTTCGTTTCTTCGTTCGTTCGTTCGTTCGTTTCGTTCGTTTCGTTCGTTCGTTTGTTCGTTCGTTCGTTCGTTCGTTCGTTCGTTCGTTCGTTCGTTCGTTCGTTCGTTCGTTCGTTCGTTCGTTCGTTCGTTCGTTCGTTCGTTCGTTCGTTCGTTCGTTCGTTCGTTTCGTCGTTCGTTCGTTCGTTTCGTTCGTTCGTTCGTTCGTTCGTTCGTTCGTTCGTTTCGTTCGTTCGTTCGTTTTCGTTCGTTCGTTCGTTCGTTCGTTCGTTCTTCGTTCGTTCGTTCGTTCGTTTCGTTCGTTCGTTCGTTCGTTCGTTCGTTCGTTCGTTCGTTCGTTCGTTCGTTCGTTCGTTCGTTTCGTTCGTTCGTTCGTTCGTTCGTTTTTTCGTTCGTTCGTTCGTTCGTTCTTCTTCGTTCGTTCGTTCGTTCGTTCGTTCTTCGTTCGTTCGTTCGTTCTTCGTTCGTTCGTTCGTTCGTTCGTTTTCGTTCGTTCGTTTTTCGTTTTCGTTCGTTCGTTCGTTCGTTCGTTCGTTCGTTCGTTCGTTCTTTTCGTTCGTTCGTTTCGTTTCGTTCGTTTCGTTCGTTCGTTCGTTCGTTCGTTCGTTCGTTCGTTCGTTCGTTCGTTCGTTTCGTTCGTTCGTTCGTTCGTTCGTTTCGTTCGTTCGTTCGTTCGTTCGTTCGTTCGTTTTCGTTCGTTCGTTCGTTCGTTGTTCGTTCTTCGTTCGTTCGTTCGTTCGTTGTTCGTTCGTTCGTTTCGTTTCGTTCGTTCGTTCGTCGTTCGTTCGTTCTTTCGTTCTTTCGTTCGTTTTCGTTCGTTTTCGTTTCGTTCGTTCGTTCGTTCGTTCGTTTCTGTTTCGTTCGTTCGTTCGTTCGTTCGTTCGTTCGTTCGTTCGTTCGTTCGTTCGTTTTCGTTCGTTCGTTCGTTCGTTTCGTTCGTTGTTCGTTGTTCGTTCGTTCGTTCGTTCGTCTTCGTTCGTTTCGTTCGTTCGTTCGTTCGTTCTTTCGTTCGTTCGTTTCGTTCGTTCGTTCGTTCGTTTCGTTCGTTCGTTCGTTTCGTTTCGTTCGTTGGTTTCGTTCGTTCGTTCGTTGTTGTTCGTTCGTTCGTTCGTTCGTTCGTTCGTTCGTTCGTTCGTTCGTTCGTTCGTTCGTTCGTTCGTTCGTTCGTTCGTCTCCACCACCTCTAAGGCATCAGACTTAGAAATGTATAGGTCTACAGGCAATCGCCATCAGACAGAGCGATATAAATCTTATAAATGGAGAAAGTTTCTGAAAAAGACACTTCCAGACCCACACCAACCACGAAAACATCCTCCAAAATAGTACCGTGAACCAACGTCTAGAGGAATTTAACGTTCTCAGACCTGAATTCAAGTTATTGTTAGGCTATTCAAGAACCAACAGTGGGACTACTGACAGATCCGATTTAGATTCCAAAACTCTGCGGAATTAACGAGTAATAGTGCAACGGAAAAACCATCTAAACCCAAGGTCAAAGAGAAGTAGTCAAGTTTTAGGAAATTTTTGTCACTTTATGATTTAGAACTGTCATAGATTTTTAAGGCCCATTATCATTATATAGTTATTAATTTTATCTTTTTATTTCCATCTAATTTTAGGCCTGCATCGATGACAATTTAGAAATGGTTGAATTTCTAGTAGAACAAGGAGCCGATATAAACAGACAAGATAATGAAGGTTGGACACCCCTGCACGCTACAGCCTCATGTGGGTAAGTGTGCTTAACAAAAGAATATTTCATTAAATTTATCTATTTAATAAATATTAATGTTATTGGTGTTAACGTCGACGGCAACAGAAAAGTTTGTGTAAACGTTGCAGCAGCAGCAGTAGCAACCGCTTTCTAAACCTCAAAGAAAAAATAAACAAATAACAAAATTGCATAATTTTGAATTTCATCATCTAAACAAACGAAAAAAAAAAATGAAAAACGTTTTATTTTCTATTTCTTCTAATTTCACTTTGTCTATGCTTGCTGGCTGGCGGTTGCATTAAAATTTTCTTTTTTTATATTATTTCTTAAATGCCTCTTAATTTGTTTGTTAAAATAAAAAATTTTGTGTATATTTGTTGTTGTTTTTTTTTTTGTTCGTTTCAGTTTTGTAAGCATAGCACGTTATTTAGTTGAACATGGTGCCGATGTTGCAGCCGTCAATAGTGATGGTGATTTAGCCGTGGACTTGGCTGTCGACATCCAACATTTGCCCATGATTGATTTCATGCAAAAAATGGTGTCCGAACAACAAATTGATTGTGCTAAAGCCCGTCAAGCCGAAGAACAACAAATGTTGAGCGATGCCAAAAAATGGTTGCGTAGCGATGCCTCTGAAGTTGATCGACCACATCCAAAAACAGGTGCAACAGCGCTGCATGTGGCAGCAGCTAAAGGTTATACAAAGGTAATTTCAATTTTCACATTTAGGTTGTGATTTGTTTGCTTTTATTTTTGTTTAGGGGGGTTTGTTTTAATTGTAATTTAAAATATTTTTTTTGTGGGTAAATTGAAATACAAATGAAATAATGTTGATTTTCTTTTAGTTGTGAATTTGATTTGATATTTGAAATTAGTGATGGAATAGCAATTTTCCTTATAGAACTACTCGATCCATTTCAGATATGATTGCGTTTGTTATTTATAGGTTCAAAACCGTAGTTACATATTTGGTATTAGTTTAATCAGCAGTGTTATCTTTCACGCCTAAGTCAAGACTGCTCTACAGTCAGTTCTGTTGTCAAGATTATAGACTGAACTATGAATAGTCGAGCCTATAAACTGAACTATAGTCCAGAGTATAGACTGTTCTATAGTCAAGACTATAGACTGATCTATAGTCAAGACTATAGACTGATCTACAGTCAAGACTATAGACTGATCTATAGTCAAGACTATCGACTGATCTACAGTCAAGACTATAGACAGATCAATAGTCAAGACTATAGACTAATATATAGTCAAGACTATAGACTGATCTATAGTCAAGACTATAGACTGATCTATAGTCAAGACTATAGACTGATCTATAGTCAAGACTATAGACTGATCTATAGTCAAGACTATAGACTGGTCTATAGTCAAGACTATAGACTGATCTATAGTCAACACTATAGGCTGATCTATAGTCAAGACTATAGACTGATCTATAGTCAAGGCTATAGACTGATCTATAGTCAAGACTATAGACTCATCTATAGTCATGACTATAGCCTGATCTATAGTCAAGACTATAGACTGATCTATAGTCAATACTATAGACTGATCTATAGTCAAGACTATAGACTGATCTATAGTCACGACTATAGACTGATCTATAGTCAAGACTATAGACTGATCTATAGTCAAGACTATAGACTGATCTATAGTCAAGACTATAGACTGATCTATAGTCAAGACTATAGACTGATCTATAGTCAAGACCAAAGACTGATCTATAGTCAAGACTATAGACTGATCTACAGTCAAGACTATAGACTGATCTATAGTCAAGACTATAGACTAATATATAGTCAAGACTATAGACTGATCTATAGTCAAGACTATAGACTGGTCTATAGTCAAGACTATAGACTGATCTATAGTCAATACTATAGACTGATCTATAGTCAAGACTATAGACTGATATATAGTCAAGACTATATACTGATCTATAGTCAAGACTATAGACTGATCTATAGTCAAGACTATAGACTGATCTATAGTCAAGACTATAGATTGATCTATAGTCTAAAAACTGATCTATAGTCAAGACTATAGTCTGATCTATATTCAAAACTATAGATTGATCTATAGTCTAAAAACTGATCTATAGTCAAGACTATAGACGGATCTAGGTATAGTAAAAACTATAGAATGATTTAAAGTCAAGACTATAGACTGATCTATAGCCAAGACTATAGACTGATCTATAGTTAAGACTATAAACTAATCTATAGTCAAGACTATAGACTGATCTAGGTATAGTAAAAACTATAGAATGATCTAAAGTCAAGACTATAGACTGATCTATAGGCAAGACTATAGACTGATCTATAGTGAAGACTATAGACTGATCTATAGTCAAGACTATAGACTGATCTATAGTCAAGACTATAGACTGATCTATATTCAAGACTTTAGACTGATCTATAGTCAAGACTATAGACTGATCTATAGTCAAGACTATAGACTGATCTATAGTCAAGACTATAGACTGATCTATAGTCAAGACTATAGACTGATCTATAGTCAAGACTATAGACTGATCTATAGTCAAGACTATAGACTGATCTATAGTCAAGACTATAGACTGATCTATAGTCAAGACTATAGAGTGATCTATAGTCAAGACTACAGACTGATCTATTGTCAAGACTATAGACTGATCTATATTCAAAACTATAGATTGATCTATAGTAAAGACTATAAACTGATCTAGGTATGGTAAAAACTATAGTATGATCTAAAGTCAAGACTATAGACTGATCTAAAGTCAAGATTATAGACTGATCTATAGTCAAGACTATAGACTGATCTATAGTTAAGACTATAGACTGATCTATAGTTAAGACTATAGACTGATCTATAGTTAACACTATAGACTGATCAATAGTCAAGACTATAGACTGATCTATATTCAAGACTATAGACTGATCTATAGTCAAGACTATAGACTGATCTATACTTAAGACTATAGACTGATCTGTAAATATATATTGATCTATAGTTAAGACTATAGACTCATCTATAGTCAAGACTATAGACTGATCTATAGTCAAGACTATAGACTGATCTATAGTCAACACTATAGACTGATCTATAGTCAAGACTATAGACTGATCTATAGTCAAGACTATAGACTGATCTATAGTCAAGACTATAGACTGATCCATAGTTAAGAGTATAGACTGATTTATACTTAAGACTATAGACCAGTGGTGCTCAAACACATACTACCATAGACTACCATAGTTTTATTTGTGTTGGTAAAGCAGCAGAGAACAGAATTTAATTCAAAATAAAAGTATACTAATAAAATGACTACAAACTATAAAGTATATGCTAACTGTCAAATATTTATTATGGATTTTGACAGCCAGCGTATAGCAACGTCTATATATAAAAAACTATCAACTGTTCTCTCATGTCCTCCTACATTAATTCGGCTTTCTCAAAATTTTGTTGTTGTATTTCTGTGTGTATTTTAAAAACGTCGCGCACAGACCTTGCTTTGGCAAGTGCTGATCAGCAACTGATTTGATTTTGTTTTTCAAGTTGAGAGCAAACCAACTGATATTGCTCATTATAAAAAGAAGAAGAATTAAACCTATAGTGTATGTGTATCAACTTAGCGTCAGCAGAATTTTCTTACCCTATCACGCGTGCTATGACACGGCCATATTGAGCTTCTCTGCTATAGACTGATCTATAGTCAAGACTAAAGACTGATCTGTAGTCAAGAGAAGATTTCAGTCTTCAGTCTAACTAAAGTAAAATGTTAATTATTTCTTTATTAAAAAGTTAATTATTTCTTTATTCCCTAAAAGGTTTTAAGTTTATTGCTCGCGGGTCGTGCTAATGTTGATGCTAAAGATAATGATGGCTGGACACCACTGCATGCGGCAGCACATTGGGGACAAAAAGAATCCGCAGAAATGCTATTAGACGCCATGGCCGATATGGATGTAACAAATTATGCCGGACAAACCTGCATAGATGTAGCAGATCGTAAAATGGTTAAATTCCTTGAAGAATATAGAGCAAGTAACAAACGTATGAAACGAAGGCCATCTAGTCAAATCAGGTATAGTTGAAACAATTAACCCCTAAAAAATCTTTGTATTAATTATTATAAAATTTTACAGTAGAATCTCAGATACAATTGAAAATCATATCGATAAAACACCCACTAAAATTATACGTGTTGAAGTGCGACCAGAAAATAACAAGGATCATGTCAATGGTAAGTGTTAGGTTTAACATTAAAGGTATTTAATGTATCATACTTTTTAAGTAAATAGTTATGGATTTATAAAATTAAAAATTTAACAATATTCTATATATTTTCTTATACTTTTTTTTTCTTAAATGTATAATTTTGTTAAATGTGCGTGCTGCCTTTAATGGTGGGCGTGGTTGTTCTTCTTTTTTTTCTTTGTTGTTCATTTCATTGGATATTTTCATACACTCACACACATAGGGTCCCATGGGCGTTAGGGCAAATTGTTTTTCATTTCATTTATCATTCCATTAGTTTATAACATTTTAATTGAACCCTCCTCTTTAGCATTTTATCCCCACATGAGTTTGTCTTATTTGCATTTTATTTCATTTACAATGCGTCTCTCTTTTCATCTAAACATCGATCACAATTCATTGATAGATTTGTTTATTTTACCATATACGATCATTTTAATTTGTTTTAAATATTGATTTCGTTTGTGATTGGTTTTCGTTTTCTGTTATTCCCTTTTAAATATTTGATTTCTGTTTTGACCGTTTTTTTAAATGTTGTTTCATATTGTTGTTGATTGTTGTTAAATTCATTGTCTATAGCTTCTACGTCTATGGCCTCTACTTCGGGCCTAACGTCCAGTAGTTTACCAACTAATTCGGAATCCGAAGAAACTGATTCAGATTTAACCGATTCCACAGAGAGTTCGCATTCAACCAGCCTTTCTGATCGTGAAGGTATCTTTAGATTTGTAATGAACAATTTTTTTCTGTATTGTGTTGTTACTTTTTTTTTTTTAATGAACAAATAATTGCACGTTTTTTTTTTCTAAATTTTGAATAAATTTTTAGTTTCCTTGTTTTTTGGATAATTCTCTGAAAATTTTATATTTATTTTGAAAGAGTTAATTTGAAGATGGATCAAATAAAAGATTAAAAGGTCAATTTATTGTATCATTTTAGGGTCGCACCGAAATTGTTAGACTATAGACTGATCTATAGTCAAGACTATAGACTGATCTACAGTGAAGACTTTAGACTGATCTATAGTGAAGACTATAGACTGATCTATAGTCAAGACTATAGACTGATCTATAGTCAAGACTATAGACTGATCTATAGTCAAGACTATAGCATGATCTATAGTCAAGACTATAGACTGATCTATAGTCAAGACTATAGCATGATCTATAGTCAAGACTATAGACTGATCTATAGTTAAGACTATAGACTGATCTATAGTCAAGACTATAGCATGATCTATAGTCAAGTCAAGACTATAGCATGATATATAGTCAAGACTATAGACTGATCTATAGTCAAGACTATAGACTGATCTATAGTTAAGACTACAGACTGATCTATAGTTAAGACTATAGACTGACCTATAGTCAAGACTTTAGACTGATCTATAGTCAAGACTTTAGACTGATCTATAGTCAAGACTTTAGACTGGTCAAGACTTTAGACAAGTCTATAGACTGGTCTATAGTTAACACTACTGATATGTAGTGAATACTATAGATTTAGCTATAGTCAATTCTATGATCTGTATTCCAGATTAAAGACTGATCTATAGTCAAAACTATAAACTGATCTATAGTCGAGACTTGCATTTTTTGCCTTGAATTGCACTTTTAAGTCATTTTCTAAATAAAAAAAGAAGGAAACGTGATCCTTTATACAATTATAAGAGGATTAGCCCTTAAACGTATTATTATTAAAAATTTCCAGAATTAAAAAAAAATATTGCAATTTTGCCCCTAAATTGCACTTTTAAGTAATTTTCTAAATAAACAGGGAGGGAACATGTTGGTCTTATAACAAGAATCAAATTTTGGAATAGCTTAAATTATAAAATGTTTACAGTTTTTTTAATGTTGCCTTTTTGCCCTTAAATTGCATTTTTTCGATATTGTCGGAATAAAAGTTGAAATATAAGAAAACATTTTCATTTTTACAAAATTCTATTAAAAATATATTTCATTTCTGTTTAAAGTTTCTGGGGATTTCTTGAACGAAAAAAATTTGCAATTTAGCTCTTAAATTGCATTTTTTAATTATTTTCTGAAAAGAGTGAGAGGCAGAAAATGTGTTCATGAGAAAACTGGAAATTTTAAAACAGTTCAAATTGTAAAATATGTATCGTTTTTTCTTAAAAAATGATGCATTTTTGCATTTTTCTTTACATAAAAGAAAAGAGATAAAGGGCATTCTCTTTTTTCATAATCGATTCATAAAACAGAACAAAAATTTGAAAGTTTTTAAGGTTTTCTTGTAAAAAAGTTGCGTTTTTGCCTAAAAATTGATTTTTTTTTTTAAATTTCGGAATTTAAACGAAATTTCATCATAAAACTAAAAAAGAATTTATTTTAAAATAGTTAAAATTTTAAAATATTTGTAGTTTTGTAATTTGTAATTTTGGAATAAAAGATTAGGGATCGGAAGACATTTTTTTTCACTATTGGATCATAAAATCATCAAAAAAACTTTTTGCCCTTAAATTGCACTTTTAAGTAGATTTTTAAGTAAAACCCAAAATAGGGGGAACATGTTCGTTTTAACAAAACTTCGACATAAGTTTGGTAAAAGAAATTAAGACAAATTAAAATTCTGCAATATTTTTAAATTATATTCTGCCAAAAAATGTTGCTTTTTTGCACTTTATGCTTTTTTTTGTATTCAAGAGAAAAGTGGACATTTTCTTTTTTCAAAATTTTATCATAAAACTTATTTGAAAGTTTTTGGAGTTTTCTTCTACGAAAAAAGTGCATTTTTGCAGTTTATAAGCAAGTTTCGGAATAAAAAACAGAATGGAGGAAACATATTCTTTAAACTAAATTTCATCGTAAAATTTAAAAAAAAAAAAAAAAATAAAAAAAAGGTCAAATTTTCAAATAATTGTAGTTTTGTTTATTTCAAAAAATTTTGTCTTTTTGCCCTTAAATTGCATTTTATAAGGAATCAAGAGACATTTTTATTTTTCATGATTATATCATAAAACAAAACAATAATATTTTTAATGTATGTTTCTTAATAAAACCCAAAATAGAGGAGAAACATGTTCGTTTTAACAAAACTTCAACATAAGTTTGGAAAACAAAATTAAGAATAATTCAAATTCTAAAATGTGTTTCGTTATATCCTGTCGAAAAATGTTGACTTTTTGACCTTAAATTATATTTTATACACTTTTTTTGTATACAAGAGAGAAGTGGACATTTAACTTTCTTTTCAAAATTGCATCATAAAACTTATTTGAAAGTTTTTGGAGTTTTCTTCTACGAAAAAAGTGTCTTTTTGTCCTCAAAGTGCATTTTTTGCAGTTTTGCATTTAAATTGCACTTTTAAGTAATTTTCTTCTAAAAAAGTCTAAAAATGCATTTAAATTGCATTTTTAAGTAATTTTTTGAATATAAAAATGTAAAAGAGATTCAATTATAAAATTTGAAAGTTTTTGAAGTTTGTAGTTTTAAGTAATTTTCTTAAGAAACAGCTAAAAACAAATAACACTGGAAACAAAGTTTTCAATACACAGAAAAAAGTTTCAGCATAAATATTATGAACTGCTTTCATTGACTAAAGTTAATAATATTTAAGAATAAGTTCCTAAAATGTATGAATTTTTTCATTTTTATATTTTTAAACATAATCTAGAAGCCTTGACTTAAAATATTAAAAATTTTCTTTATATTTTTCTGTTTGTTAAAAAATGTTTGAAATTTTCTTTAGAAAATCTTTTATTTCTTTATGATTTTTAGATTGAAAACAATGAAATATGCGCGTAACATTTAACATTTTCTGAAGAATGGATGTTTAGCTATATGCTGGTTTTTTTATTTCATATTTTGTTTTCCAGCATTTTTATTTATTTATAATATAACAATTAAACATAAAAATTCGCTAATATGTGATTATTTTCTAAAAAATGGAAGATATTAATAGGTAACGGTTATTTATTTATTTATTGCATTTTTGATGAAAATCAAAGAAAATGAACAAAAAAAAAAACAAAAAAATCTTTCATGTACAAATTCATACATTTTATGAACTTTTAATATTCTGAATGAAAATGGTTTGGGAAGAAAAAGTCATGTTCGATTCATTCAATTTATTTCAAAATTCATTCCAAATATGAATTATTTTTTTCTGTGTATTTAAAATTATTAAAATATTTTTTATTTTCTGAAAAAAATGCATTTTTGTGCACTTTTGTATTTAAATTGCATTTTTAAGTAATTTTCTGAATGCGAAACAAAAATATAAGAAATTTTCTTATAAAATTGAAAATAAATTTTCAAATATTTAGATTTTTTGTTTTCTTTAACAAATTTTTTTTTGCTCTTAAATTTCTAATGTCCATAAAATTAAAAATAATATTTTAAATTTTTTAAAATTTTTGTGCAATTTTGCATTTTAATTGCACTTTTAAGTAATTTTTTGAATACAAAGTATTAATTTTAGATCTTGAAAATTCTTTTAAAATATTTACTTTTTTGATATATTTTTTGCCCTTAAATTGCATTTTTATATAATTCTGACCTTAAATTGCACTTTTTGTGATTTTCTAAATAACAAACAATTGAAAGTGTGAATATGTGTGAAACAAATTTTAGAATATTTTAAAATCTAAAATGTTTGGGGTTTTTTAAATCTTGCCTTTTTGCCCTAAAATTGCATTTTCATGTACTTTTCTGAACAAAATAAATGGGAACATTTCCTTTTTCCTAAAATTGTATAACAAAGACAAATTTGAATCCTTTTGGATTTATTTTCTTAATGAGAAATGTAAATTATATCTAAATATTTTTTTTTCTAATTTCGATAAACTTTTTAACACCCTTTAAATCATTTTATTAATAATTTTAATTACTTGTTATTTTTATTAACACCACTTATTTCTAGATGATAAATCATCTATGCAGAAAACTACAAATGAAACACCCGCCACAGAAGACGAGGCGCCATGGCGACGTAATAATGTCACACGTGTGCGTTCAACCAATGAAAGTCCAATTAAAAATCGTATGTATTTCTTCTTCTTTTTATTGATTTATTTTTTTCTAGTTTTTCTTTTCTTAAATTAATTAATAATAATTATTTACTTTGTAATAGAAGTTCCTGATAATGAAGTTAGCAAAACAAATAATGCCACCACAGAGACAGATGTTATTTTAAGACGAACTCAAAGCTTTGAGAATGATGAAAAGTAAGTACATATATTTTTATATTTAATGTTTAAAAAAAGAGGTTTAATTTTTGTCAAGCGTTTTTTTCCTTTGAACGTTTTAAAATTTTGTTTGAAAAAATTGTGTTGAAGAAAAAGTAAGCACTTTCAAAGGGGGCTTAGAAGAAAAGTCTAACAAATAGGGAGGGTTTTTTTAATTTTTAAAATTTTAATAATCCTACATCACTATCATAATTGATCCACTTATACTGAAAGGGAACTAAAACAATGATTTTTAATATAGCAGAGTTTAGAGATCGTCCTTTCGCGCATGTGTCTTTTGCGATATTCAGATTCTTAACTCTGAAAAAGAATATGTACTCCACAATTTTCTTTATTTTATTAAGATGCAATCTTTTAGAAAGCACATACATATCACAGCAATCAGAAATCGAGGGTGAGAGTTGTCAAGTCACAGAGAGAGAGAGAGAGATAGCGTTCAGAAGTCAGTCTCGATAATGTTTTCAAGGATGAACATCCATCCAGGATGAACATTAACACTGAATAGTTTTCCATAATTTGAATTACATAACCTAGTAAAATGTATCGTAATTTTCTTTTTTGAGAAAACATATTTGATTATTTAGCTTCAGTCACACTGAACACATCGTGGAGTAGATATGAAGTGGCGGAAGGTTCGATATCAGTCAACTATTCAATGGGAAGAAGAGCGAGCGGGAATTTAGGGAAGTAATTCCAAAGGTGGAATAATAGCAACTATTAACCGACTGGAAGTTCGCCCAGTTGTAATGTAATTCTTCTACGTTAAATTTGTTAGTTAGTTAGTAAGTTAGTTAGTTAGTTAGTTAGTGTAGTTAGTTACGTTAGTTAGTTAGTTAGTAGTTAGTTAGTTAGTTAGGTTCGTTAGTTAGTTAGTTAGTTAGTTAGTTAGTTATTAGTTAGTTAGTTAGTTAGTTAGTTAGTTAGTTTAGTAGTAGTAGTTAGTTAGTTAGTTAGTAGTTAGTAGTTAGTTAGTTAGTTAGTTAGTTAGTTAGTAGTTAGTTAGGTAGTAGTTAGTTAGTTAGTGTTAGTTAGTTAGTTAGTTAGTTAGTTAGTTAGTTAGTAGTTAGTTAGTTAGTTAGTTAGTTAGTTAGTAGTAGTTAGTTAGTAGTAGTTAGTTAGTTAGTTAGTTAGTTAGTTGTAGTTAGTTAGTTAGTTAGTTAGTAGTAGTTAGTTAGTAGTAGAGTTAGTTAGTTAGAGTGTTAGTTAGTTAGTTAGTTAGTTAGTTAGTTAGTTAGTTAGTTATAGTAGAGTTAGTTAGTTAGTTAGTTAGTTAGTTAGTTAGTTAGTTAGTTAGTTAGTTAGTTAGTTAGTAGTTAGTAGTAGTTAGTTAGTTAGTTAGTTAGTTAGTTAGTTAGTTAGTTAGTTAGTTAGTTAGTTAGTTAGTTAGTTAGTAGTTAGTTAGTAGTAGTTAGTTAGTTAGTTAGTAGTTAGTAGTTGTTAGTTAGTAGTTAGTAGTTAGTTAGTAGTTAGTAGTTAGTTAGTTAGTTAGTTAGTTAGTTAGTTAGTAGTTAGTTAGTAGTAGTAGTAGTAGTTAGTTAGTTAGTTAGTAGTTAGTGTTAGTAGTTAGTTAGTTAGTAGTTAGTAGTTAGTAGAGTAGTTAGTTAGTTAGTTAGTTAGTAGTTAGTTAGAGTTAGTTAGTTAGTTAGTTAGTTAGTTAGTTAGGTAGTTAGTTAGTTAGTAGTTAGTTAGTTAGTAGTTAGTTAGTTAGTTAGTAGAGTTAGTTAGTTAGTTAGTTAGTAGTAGTTAGTTAGTTAGTTAGTTAGTTAGCTAGAGTAGTAGTTCGTTAGTTAGTAGTTAGTTAGTTAGTTAGTTAGTAGTAGTTAGTTAGTAGTTAGTTAGTGTTAGTTAGTTAGTTAGTTAGTTAGTAGTAGTTAGTAGTTAGTTAGTAGTTAGTTAGTTAGTTAGTTAGTTAGTTAGTTAGTTGTTAGTTAGTTAGTTAGTAGTTAGTAGTTAGTTAGTTAGTTAGTTAGTAGTTAGTTAGTTAGTAGTAGTTAGTGGTTATAGTTAGTTAGTAGTTAGTAGTTAGTAGTAGTAGTAGTTAGTTAGTTAGTTAGTTAGTTAGTTAGTTAGTTAGTTAGTTAGTTAGTTAGTTAGTTAGTTAGTTAGTTAGTTAGTTAGTAGTTAGTTAGTTAGTTAGTTAGTTAGTTAGTTAGTTAGTTAGTTAGTTAGTTAGTTAGTTAGTTAGTTAGTTAGTTAGTTAGTTAGTTAGTTAGTTAGTTAGTTAGTTAGTTAGTTAGTTAGTTAGTTAGTTAGTTAGTTAGTTAGTTAGTTAGTTAGTAGTTAGTTAGTTAGTTAGTTAGTTAGTTAGTTAGTTAGTTAGTTAGTTAGTTAGTTAGTTAGTTAGTTAGTTAGTTAGTTAGTTAGTTAGTTAGTTAGTTAGTTAGTTAGTTAGTTAGTTAGTTAGTTAGTTAGTTAGTTAGTTAGTTAGTTAGTTAGTTAGTTAGTTAGTTAGTTAGTAGTTAGTTAGTTAGTTAGTTAGTTAGTTAGTTAGTTAGTTAGTTAGTTAGTTAGTAGTTAGTTAGTTAGTTAGTTAGTTAGTTAGTTAGTTAGTTAGTTAGTTAGTTAGTTAGTTAGTTAGTTAGTTAGTTAGTTAGTTAGTTAGTTAGTTAGTTAGTTAGTTAGTTAGTTAGTTAGTTAGTTAGTTAGTTAGTAGTTAGTTAGTTAGTTAGTTAGTTAGTTAGTTAGTTAGTTAGTTAGTTAGTTAGTTAGTTAGTTAGTTAGTTAGTTAGTAGTTAGTTAGTTAGTTAGTTAGTTAGTTAGTTAGTAGTTAGTTAGTTAGTTAGTTAGTTAGTTAGTTAGTTAGTTAGTTAGTTAGTTAGTTAGTTAGTTAGTTAGTTAGTTAGTTAGTTAGTTAGTTAGTTAGTTAGTTAGTTAGTTAGTTAGTTAGTTAGTTAGTTAGTTAGTTAGTTAGTTAGTTAGTTAGTTAGTTAGTTAGTTAGTTAGTTAGTTAGTTAGTTAGTAGTTAGTTAGTTAGTTAGTTAGTTAGTTAGTTAGTTAGTTAGTTAGTTAGTTAGTTAGTTAGTTAGTTAGTTAGTTAGTAGTTAGTTAGTTAGTTAGTTAGTAGTTAGTTAGTTAGTTAGTTAGTTAGTTAGTAGTTAGTAGTTAGTTAGTTAGTTAGTTAGTTAGTTAGTTAGTTAGTTAGTTAGTTAGTTAGTTAGTTAGTTAGTAGTTAGTTAGTTAGTTAGTTAGTTAGTTAGTTAGTTAGTTAGTTAGTTAGTAGTTAGTTAGTAGTTAGTTAGTTAGTTAGTTAGTTAGTTAGTTAGTTAGTTAGTTAGTTAGTTAGTTAGTTAGTTAGTTAGTTAGTTAGTTAGTTAGTTAGTTAGTTAGTTAGTTAGTTAGTTAGTTAGTTAGTTAGTAGTTAGTTAGTAGTTAGTTAGTTAGTTAGTTAGTTAGTTAGTTAGTTAGTTAGTTAGTTAGTTAGTTAGTTAGTTAGTTAGTTAGTTAGTTAGTTAGTTAGTTAGTTAGTTAGTTAGTTAGTTAGTTAGTTAGTTAGTTAGTTAGTTAGTTAGTTAGTTAGTTAGTTAGTTAGTAGTTAGTTAGTTAGTTAGTTAGTAGTTAGTTAGTAGTTAGTTAGTTAGTTAGTTAGTTAGTTAGTAGTTAGTTAGTTAGTTAGTTAGTAGTTAGTTAGTTAGTTAGTTAGTTAGTTAGTTAGTTAGTTAGTTAGTTAGTTAGTTAGTTAGTTAGTTAGTTAGTTAGTTAGTTAGTTAGTTAGTTAGTTAGTTAGTTACTTAGAGCCACAGTTCCACTTGAGTCCTGAAGGCCTCTTTGCAATTGCCTATAAAAAGAAGAGTGTAACAAAAGACAAAGTAGAATAAATAGATTAGAAGTAGAACTGGAATAGGCGAATAGGGAAAAAGTAAACATTAAAAACTACGTGAGAATATTATGTCCTCCATAGTGTCTGGAAGCTTTCCAGTTACCAAGCTGCACAGTTACGTAGAATATGAGCTTCGTCTCTATCTCATCTTCATTATGACAACTTCTGTAGAATTAGATGCCTAACTGAGATCTATAAAGACCTAAGAGATAGTATCATCCATTCTACGCCAAAGGAAATTGTGATCGTTTAATTATGATCGTGGGTGATTTAAGCTCTCAGATATATGATTTAAATAAGATGACCAAAAGTAAACCAAAGGATGGATCGTTCCCACGACTATTGGATCATCGCTCCGAAATGATCCGAATCTTACTCAATTCAATTCAGCATTAGTTCTATCAACCAAAAGTTTTCCTTCCCAGGAAAGAACTATCGGCCGCAGTCGAACTGTTACAACAAAAAAGGGATGTCAATAGTGTTTATTTTGTCTACACTGGCTACTATGTAATCCTGAATTATAAAAAAGGTTCATATTATTCTTCGACAGCCACTTTATAACGTCAAACCGGGTTATATAGGTATTACAGAACTTCGGACATATTCTCATCGGTACGTACATCACGATGACGATCTCCTAACAGATCTCCTGCTGCAAAGCACAGCCTATCCACTGCAAGTAAACAATAAGAAGAGCCCTTCATTCGGAAGAGGATCGCAGAAATCGAAACTATATTAAAAGTTAAACCAACACTATGCACATTTCTGCCTTTGTAAGGTAATCTGATCCTTCCGTTAAGGAAATCTGAGACACTTGGGTACGAAGTCCAAAGAATAAAGCCATAGTATTCGCTGAACAAGTACTGTATTCCAACCGAATCCCCCCACAAATAGCTTTGTATTAGGGGGCGTTATCTGTTCACACAGAAGCAGACTCTGAGCCAATAAACATTAGTTTTGGAAGATGTTGAAAAAATCATAAAATATAATCTTAATCTAAGGAAATCACCAGGTTACGACTCAATTACACATTCCATGATTGGAAACCTACCAAGGCTTTGGACAAGGTTTGGCACTAGAGTCTAACCTATCACATCGATCGTTTAGGATAATATGCGGCGATTATATCCCAAGTGATTATGCAATCAAAGCTGGTGCTTCTCAGGGAAGTGTTCTAGGACCAACACGATACCTATTGTATACCTCTGATTTGCCTATGTCCAACGAATTAACCAGTTCTACTTTTTCTGACGACACTGCCAAATGGACTTAATGGACAATCTATAAACTTGTTTAATAATTTTAGAAACCAAGTTAATGAAAGTAAAAGTAAAGACATAACGTTTCCACTTAGGAGAGGAAGCTGCCCTCCTGTGACACTAATCATTGTGAACATCCCAGAGTCTGATCATGTTACATACCTTGGTATTCACCTGGATATACGTTTTATTTGGCGTCGACACATAGAAGCCAAATGGCTTTTAATTTACACAGACTAATAAATCAGTAATCAAAATTAAGACTTGACTGCAAAGTCATCCTGTATGAGGACCATAAATGTTGTCCCCTTGAAAGCTGGTCGAGAAATTTTTTTGCACCAACTTGCGTACGTTACTGCTCAAACCTAAACATTGAGATATTTCTACGCAGGAGTAGTCTATAAATCCATTGGACAAGAAAAGTTGGATTGGTGTGGAAACCCTGACCACATACCAGATCCACAATTGTGTTCCGCAGCAGGTTTTCATCTGTATCTGGTATGAGCGGTGGGCGATTTACAATTACGGCAACGAAAACATTGGTTGAAGAAAGAAAGAAAAAAACCTTTACTCAATCAAACCTTTACAAATCTCGTTTGAAAGCAATGTGTCTCCAATTTATTCGAAATAAATAATTTACTAATTTCCACTTTTAAATATATTACATCATGATTCCTCTTATAGATAAAAACAATTAATTAGTTTCTAAATATTCTCTCTAATACAATCAATTCTTGTTTTACAAGGGATTTTTATCTATAAAATATAATGATAAGGTTTGCTATAAACAAATTGCTAAAGTTTTTGTCGTTTTATGTCACTTTTAACTTTTTTTTGTTGATTTTTTTTTTTGTATTAAAAGTTATATTTATGATTCATCCATGAATCAAAATAAATTTATAAACAATCAAAAGATTATAAAAAATACAACAAAAATAGTGATGTATATTAAAACAGGTTAATATAGAACGATTTTGTAATGAACTACAGGTGTCAATGGATCAAAGAGAGCTATTTCAGATAAATAAAAATTTTGATTTATAATCTTATTTACGGATATATCACAAGATGCTGTCAAAGTTTCTACACCCCCAGGCACCTTGGGATACTAAAAAAATTCGAAATGTCCTAGGAACATTGAGTCTCTAATTAAAGAAAAGAGAACACTCAGGCGTCAATGGCAACAATCGCGATCTCCAAACATAAAGGTTAAACTTAATCAGTGCCAAAGAAGACTTCACATCGCCTTAAAAAATAATAAGGAATCTAATCTGAGAAGTTATCTCAAAAACTTAGACCCTACTTAGAAAACAGAATATAGTCTCTGGAAAGCTGTTAAACATATGCAATGCCCTATTGCATATGAGTCACCCATACGCCTCCAGAATGGTCAATGGGCAAAAAATACGTCAGAAAAACTTGAAGCATTCGCCAATCACTTGGAGAATGTGTTTACTGAAAATGATACAGATTCTTCTATTAGTGCTAACATTATAAATAATGTGGCTCCACGCCCAATAAAATTCCGGTTCTCTACCGTGAAGACGACAATCAAAGGTCTAAAGGCAGGAAAATCACCTGGTATAGATAAAATTACTACCACGATGATAAGTAACCTGCCCAATTCAGCACTGAGAATTATTTTGTTCATCTTTAACTCGATGCTCCGTATTGGATATTTCCCTACCTCATGGAAAGTATCCGAAATTGTTATGATACCAAAACCGGGAAAAGATGTCACTCAAGTGACATCATACCGTCCCATTAGCCTGTTGTCTATATTCTCAAAACTTTTTGAAAAGTTATTGCTTGAAAGCCTTATACTACACCTTAACGATAATTGCATTATTCCTGACCATCAGTTTGGTTTCAGAAGAAAGCACAGCACTATCGAACAGGTACATCGAATAACTACTCTTATTCGGAAGGCCTTCGAGAGCAAGCAATATTGCTCAGCATTATTCATAGATATTTCTCAAGCTTTCGATAAAGTCTGGCACGATGGACTAATACACAAAATTATCACATTACTACCTGCGAAAAATTATATATATGAAAGATCTTTTCAAATCAGATCTAAAGATGTGATCTCTTCACGTCGAAAAATATATGCAGGAGTACCCCAGGGGAGTATTCTAGGTCCGTTCCTATATATTTTATATACTGCAGATATGCCAACGAGCGCACTGACTCACACATCTACATTTGCGGATGATACCGCTTTTGTAAGCATACATGATAACCCTTCAATAGCTTCTGAACAACTCCAGCTTCACATCGCGAATTGGAAAAGTGGCTGGACAAATGGAAAATAAAGGTCAATGCAACAAAATGTACTCACGTTACATTTACTTTAAGACGAGAAAATTGTCCTCCCGTACAGATAAACAATATAAAAATTCCTGAACAAAGCCATGTGAGATATCTTGGTATCCACCTTGATCGCCGCTTAACATGGACTCACCACATCGAAGCCAAGGTTACACAAATAAAATTAAAGTCAGCTCAAATGTACTGGCTAATTGGACCACGGTCAGCTCTAGACTTGGAATACAAAGTGCTTTTGTACAAAACAGTTATAAAACCGATATGGCTATACGACATTCAACTGTGGGGAACAGCCTCCTCATCTAATGTTGAAAAATTACAAAAAAAGCAGTCAGCACTGTTAAGGTCAATAACAGGTGCTCCGTGGTACATTCGCAGTAGTAATATTCATAGGGATCTCAATAATACGCGAGGAGATCAAATTCTCTTGTTTAACCTACTTGTCGAAACTGATGGATCACCCAAATCCCCTTGCCAGGGAGTTGCTGTCATTTGAGGGTCATAGAAGACTGAGAAGAACGGAAACATTGGATTTTGCCAGATAATCAAATTATCGAGAACTTTGGTTGAAATTGCATTGGCAATAACAACGTTAGTTATAATTTAGGTTAAGATTTTAATACTTATTGTAAATTTCTACATAAGAAAGATTCAATAAAGAATAAATAAAATAAAAAAAAAATAATAATCTTATTGCATTATCCAGATGAAAATGTTTTAAATACTAAATCAATTAAGTTTTAATAACAAATCAAAGGTCGTATTTAAGAGTTTTCTATTTAAAGTGTAGCGTTCACAAAAAATTTGCAATTTTTAACAACTAATTTATTAATAGATTGTTTAGTTAGTGAAATACCTTATAAAGAGTGCTTACTTTTTCTAGCGGTTCTAGAATTGATTGTATTTCAAATAAATTTTGTTTATTTATATTATTTATAATTATTAACATTTATTTATGATTTTTTTTTATTATTTTTTGTATTTCTTTTCATTTATGTTTATGAACGAAAATAAAAATTATTTTGCAAAAAAAAAAACGAAATAACTTTAAAACAATTCATCACAAAAACTAATCTCACACATCATTCATCAAATGTTGAAACTAATTTAAAATAAAATAATGAAAATTTTAAAAAATAAAACAAATTTGTTAATTTAATTAAATAACATTAAATTTTGTGCGTGTGTCTGTGTGTTTTTATATGTGTGTTTATGCTAAATATTTTGTTTAAAATTAAATCATCCACGTGTATTTTGCTGCTCTCAAAAACCAATAATTTTTTTTTTTTTCATTTTTTTACTTTTATTTATAAAATTATTAATGCTTTAACTACAAATAACTGTTGCTTACTTTTAAATAAAAAAATTAACAAACAAATTATTTTCCAAAAAAAAAAAAAAAAAAAAAAATCAACTGCAACTAAAAAAAAAAACAAAAGATTCTATCAAAAATATAATGAATTAAGAGCACGTATTAAAGCTAATTCATGCCCCATAATACCGGCTACACTGCAACAGCATCAGCAGCAACAACAACAGCAACAGCATCATCAACAGCAACAACAGCAAAATAATAATAATGTTAACAACAATAACAATAATAACAATACTACTATAATAACTGGTGGTAGTAGTAGTTGTTTGAAAAACTCTATACCAGCCACAGGATCTGCTACAACAACATCAACAACCGCTACTACAACAATTTCCTCCACACCCACTACCACTAATAACAGTCTACTTACACCATTATTACCACAATCGCCATTACTAGCAACACCAACATCACCTGCCACAACAAATACACTGGACTCTACCACAACAAATTCACCCAATTCAACTACTACTGCTATCACCACCGCCACCAACAACTCCTCTTCTTCCTCCATCAATATCACAAATATCATAAATCCAAATTATACTGTACAAAGATCGGCTTCACTTAAAGATCATAAACAAATATTTATCAGGTTTGTTTTTGTGTTTTTTCTTTGATTGTTTGTTTCCAATTTGTTTTTTTTTTGTTTGTTTGTTCTATATTTCCTCTTCCTGTTTTCACACACTCTCTTTCTCTCTCTCTGTCTGACTCTTTTTCTTAAGTTTACTCTACTTTAATTGTAGTGTTTAAATTAGTTGTAGTTTTTTTATACATATGTATGTGTGTGGGTGTGTTTGTATTGTTTTGTTAATTTAGTTTTGTTTTATATTAAGGATTAGTTGTTAATACCAAGGATCCTGTTGTAGGTGTTCCTCAATCGTTATAATTCCTTTTAATTTTCCCTTATAAGGATATTAATTGTTAATTGTTATTAAAACAGGACTTATTATAACACTCTACTTTGGGATCTTTTATATTCAAAAGTCTTTATCTTATATAAGAGAAATATTCTGGAGAGTTTTTCATAGAGAGTTTTTCTGAAAAACTTCCTCTTTATACTCACCATCAAATATATTGATTTTTTCCATCATTCCATCAAAATATTGATCGCAGACCGAAAAAAGTATATATTCTGGGGGCTTATTAAATTCTAAAACCATCCGTCTGTTTGTTGAAATAACGATAGGGGCAACACGGTTAGTTAGTTAGTTACTTAGTTAGTTAGTTAGTTAGTTAGTTAGTTAGTTAGTTAGTTAGTTAGTTAGTTAGTTAGTTAGTTAGTTAGTTAGTTAGTTAGTTAGTTAGTTAGTTAGTTAGTTAGTAGTTAGTTAGTTAGTTAGTAGTTAGTTAGTTAGTTAGTTAGTTAGTTAGTTAGTTAGTTAGTAGTTAGTTAGTTAGTTAGTAGTTAGTAGTTAGTTAGTTAGTTAGTTAGTTAGTTAGTTAGTTAGTTAGTTAGTTAGTTAGTAGTTAGTTAGTTAGTTAGTTAGTTAGTTAGTTAGTTAGTTAGTTAGTTAGTTAGTTAGTTAGTTAGTTAGTTAGTTAGTTAGTTAGTAGTTAGTTAGTAGTTAGTTAGTTAGTTAGTTAGTTAGTTAGTTAGTTAGTTAGTTAGTTAGTTAGTTAGTTAGTTAGTTAGTTAGTTAGTTAGTTAGTTAGTTAGTTAGTTAGTTAGTTAGTAGTTAGTTAGTTAGTTAGTTAGTAGTTAGTTCGTTAGTTAGTTAGTAGTTAGTTAGTTAGTTAGTTAGTTAGTTAGTTAGTAGTTAGTTAGTTAGTTAGTTAGTTAGTTAGTTAGTTAGTTAGTTAGTTAGTTAGTTAGTTGGTAGTTAGTTAGTTAGTAGTAGTTAGTTAGTTAGTTAGTTAGTTAGTTAGTTAGTAGTTAGTTAGTTAGTTAGTTAGTTAGTTAGTTAGTAGTTAGTTAGTTAGTTAGTTAGTAGTTAGTTAGTTAGTTAGTTAGTTAGTTAGTAGTTAGTTAGTTTAGTTAGTTAGTTAGTTAGTTAGTTAGTTAGTAGTAATTAGTTAGTTAGTTAGTTAGTTAGTTAGTTAGTTAGTTAGTTAGTTAGTTAGTAGTTAGTTAGTTAGTTAGTTAGTAGTTAGTTAGTTAGTTAGTTAGTAGTTAGTTAGTTTAGTTAGTTAGTAGTTAGTTAGTTAGTTAGTTAGTTAGTTAGTTATATAGTTAGTAGTTAGTTAGTTAGTAGTTAGTTAGTTAGTTAGTTAGTAGTTAGTTAGTAGGTAGTTAGTTAGTTAGTTAGTTAGTAGTTAGTTAGTTAGTTAGTTAGTTAGTTAGTTAGTTAGTTAGTTAGTTAGTTAGTTAGTTAGTTAGTTAGTTAGTTAGTTAGTTAGTTAGTTAGTTAGTTAGTTAGTTAGTTAGTTAGTTAGTTAGTTAGTTAGTTAGTTAGTTAGTTAGTTAGTTAGTTAGTTAGTTAGTTAGTTAGTTAGTTAGTTAGTTAGTTAGTTAGTTAGTTAGTTAGTAGTTAGTTAGTTAGTTAGTTAGTTAGTTAGTTAGTTAGTTAGTTAGTTAGTTAGTTAGTTAGTTAGTTAGTTAGTTAGTTAGTTAGTTAGTTAGTTAGTTAGTTAGTTAGTTAGTAGTTAGTTAGTTAGTTAGTTAGTTAGTTAGTTAGTTAGTTAGTTAGTTAGTTAGTTAGTTAGTTAGTTAGTTAGTTAGTTAGTTAGTTAGTTAGTTAGTTAGTTAGTTAGTTAGTTAGTTAGTTAGTTAGTTAGTTAGTAGTTAGTTAGTTAGTTAGTTAGTTAGTTAGTTAGTTAGTTAGTTAGTTAGTTAGTTAGTTAGTTAGTTAGTTAGTTAGTTAGTAGTTAGTTAGTTAGTTAGTTAGTTAGTTAGTTAGTTAGTTAGTTAGTTAGTTAGTTAGTTAGTTAGTTAGTTAGTTAGTTAGTTAGTTAGTTAGTTAGTTAGTTAGTTAGTTAGTTAGTTAGTTAGTTAGTTAGTTAGTTAGTTAGTTAGTTAGTTAGTTAGTTAGTTAGTTAGTTAGTTAGTAGTTAGTTAGTTAGTTAGTTAGTTAGTTAGTTAGTTAGTTAGTTAGTTAGTTAGTTAGTTAGTTAGTTAGTTAGTTAGTTAGTTAGTTAGTTAGTTAGTTAGTTAGTAGTTAGTTAGTTAGTTAGTTAGTTAGTTAGTTAGTTAGTTAGTTAGTTAGTTAGTTAGTTAGTTAGTAGTAGTTAGTTAGTTAGTTAGTTAGTTAGTTAGTTAGTTAGTTAGTTAGTTAGTTAGTTAGTTAGTTAGTTAGTTAGTTAGTTAGTTAGTTAGTTAGTTAGTTAGTTAGTTAGTTAGTTAGTTAGTTAGTTAGTTAGTTAGTTAGTTAGTTAGTTAGTTAGTTAGTTAGTTAGTTAGTTAGTTAGTTAGTTAGTTAGTTAGTTAGTTAGTTAGTTAGTTAGTTAGTTAGTTAGTTAGTTAGTTAGTTAGTTAGTTAGTTAGTTAGTTAGTTAGTTAGTTAGTAGTTAGTTAGTTAGTTAGTTAGTTAGTTAGTTAGTTAGTTAGTTAGTTAGTTAGTTAGTTAGTTAGTTAGTTAGTTAGTTAGTTAGTTAGTTAGTTAGTTAGTTAGTTAGTTAGTTAGTTAGTTAGTTAGTTAGTTAGTTAGTTAGTTAGTTAGTTAGTTAGTTAGTTAGTTAGTTAGTTAGTTAGTTAGTTAGTAGTTAGTTAGTTAGTTAGTTAGTTAGTTAGTTAGTTAGTTAGTTAGTTAGTTAGTTAGTTAGTTAGTTAGTTAGTAGTTAGTTAGTTAGTTAGTTAGTTAGTTAGTTAGTTAGTTAGTTAGTTAGTTAGTTAGTTAGTTAGTTAGTTAGTTAGTTAGTTAGTTAGTTAGTTAGTTAGTTAGTAGTTAGTTAGTTAGTTAGTTAGTAGTTAGTTAGTTAGTAGTTAGTTAGTTAGTTAGTTAGTAGTTAGTTAGTTAGTTAGTTAGTTAGTTAGTTAGTTAGTTAGTTAGTTAGTTAGTTAGTAGTTAGTTAGTTAGTTAGTTAGTAGTTAGTTAGTTAGTTAGTTAGTTAGTTAGTTAGTTAGTTAGTTAGTTAGTTAGTTAGTTAGTAGTTAGTTAGTTAGTTAGTTAGTTAGTTAGTAGTTAGTTAGTTAGTTAGTTAGTTAGTTAGTTAGTTAGTTATGATGAGGGTGGGTTTATGATTGCAAACAGAGCTGTCCCACTATAGGACATTTGACACCCCTCCCGCGGGTCTACGAGTACCAATAAATGGAATATCGATTTTATTCGATTAAATAATTCTTCCAATCTTTGGGTTAAGATATCTTGAAGAGGGAAGAAAATGTAACAGTGGTTTAAAGTCAACTTTTGGTTGACCCTGTTATACATATCTCGATGGTGTTGTGGAGCTCGATCTTATAGAAAAGTATACTTTGTTCTGTGGATTTCGAATTTTTAAAAAAATATATGGTCTGTGCTATCTTCTTCCATTAAGCATAAAGAGGCCGAAGTAAATAAGAAACTCTAACATGCGACATTTTGGTACTTTTTCGTTCTGCAAAAGGTACTTTTTGAATTTTCTCATTATATTGAACCTAGAATTATGAAATTTAGGAATAAAGAGACCGGAGTAAAAGAGAACCTATAAAAGGGGACATTTTGGTACTTTTTTATTCTTCAAAAGGAACTTTATGAATGTATAATATTGAACCTAAAATCATAAAATTAAGCATCTAGAGCCCGGATTAGGTGAGAACCTATGAAAGGGGACTTTTTGATACTTTTTCGTTCTACAAAAGGTACTTTTCGATTTTTTTTTGTAATATTGAACCTAACTTAAAATTCAGCATGTAGAGACCCAAATAAATGAGAGCCTATAAAAGGGGGCATTTTGATACTTTCGTCTGTCTATCTTTCTGTCCATGTAAACCTTATAATCAAATTACAATTCCCAATTTTAATGTTAATTCGATGAAATTTGGTATAACTACCTCATAACTGGTGTAGGGTCGGCCACGCCCGACTATACTTTTCTACTTGTTGTTCTTCAACTGGTACAGGCCGCATTCTGATGGAATGAAAGGCTATAAAGTGAACTTTGTTAATTGTAGCGAATCTTACTCTTACTCTTTCACTTGAACATTTGTTTGTTAAAAGTTCGACTCAAAAGGAATGATCTTGTTTTGTAGAAATTAATATACAATTAAGTTACAGTTTCAGTTATGGTCTAACAATTTTTATAGATTTGCTCCTATACGTATTGAAGTCAACATGTGTGGTCGTTTGGTTCTTTGGAGGCAGCTTAATAAACGTAGTTTTGCTTTCAACACAATTAATAAACTTTTATTATTTATATGATTTTTATACTTAACTAATTTTCATTGTAAAGTATTAAACTTAAAAATTAGTAACCAGTAGCTAACTCTAGTATAAAAATAACCCTTGTAAACTGTAATATTTGTTATTAGTTTTATTAATATTAATAAAAAAATGTTGTATTTAACTCTTATACTAATGTAAATATTGGAAAAACTGCTTTCAAATCATCATTAACATTTTCATTTTTTCTTTAATAACAACATAAAACTATTAAAATTATGTTAATTACATATAATTAAATGTTAATTAGTATTTTGCCTCGTAAGTTTAAACATATTTTATTTATAAAAAATCTATTTTTCACTTTAGGAAATCACCACCCATAAGCCCCTCAGTGACATCTACGCCTGCTACAGCTGCAACTACAACGAATACATCAAGTCCTGCAGCTGTAACCACACCCATCAGAAGGTACATTTTGCTAGTTAATTATTATAAATCATTTTTAAATTCCTTTTGGTTTTGTCTTTTAATTTAAACATTTTTTCACTTTCCCCCCACAAACACAAAAAAAAAACAAAAACTATTTGATTATTGTTTAGCAGCACTCCCACAACTTCTTCTACCACTACTACTACTACTTCTTCTACTCAATCAAAAACCACCAATCAAGTGGCCAAAAGTACCACACAAATTAAGGATAATAACGCTACACCAAACAATAAACAAAATCAGAATTCAAATAAAAATAATAATCAAAGTACAACTACTAGTACTAATAACAATAATAATGGTTCAGCTCCCGTTGAACCGGTTAAAAAACAATCTACCGGAAATATATTTAAAAATTTCTTCAAGTAAATATGACCTTCCAACAAGTTATCTGGAATAAATGTTGTAAAAAAAACTATTTGTTTGTTGTTTCGCGTTTTTAACAAAAACAAATTGCTATTAAAATTGACATTAAAAATCTATTCTAGTTTGGCTGTTTAAATTTCTTCTTCATTAACAATATTAACCTAAAAGCTTTAATTTTTTTTTAAATAATTTCAAATCGGCTTTATTCCCCAATTGTTAATGTTTTAATTATTAATTATTTCGCTAATCCTTGTTAAAATTAACAAAGGATATTTGGCTTTAATTTACTAATTATTGACAAAATTACTAAAATTATTTTAAGAAATTGTTTTAATATATTTTATAATTCGCTGTTGTGAAATCTTATTAATGAAACTTAACACAGAGTTTTTTCCAAAAATTTTCTTTTTTATTAAAAAATTTTGAAAATTTAGAGAAAATTTATAGATAATTCTTCAAAATTTCTCTTTTTATAGGAAATTTTAAAAAAATTTCATCTTTTATAGAAAATTTTTATAAAATAACTCTTTTTATTGGAAAATTTTCCAAAAAAATTATCTCTTTGTAGAAAACTTTTCCAAAATTTCTCTCTTTATTGAATTTTTTTAAGTTTCCCTCTTTATAGGAATATTTTCCAAAATTTATCTCTTTATAGGAATTTTTTTTCCAAAATTTCTTTCTTTACAAGAAATTTTTCAAAAAATTGTATCTTTATAGGAATTTTTTCAAAAATTTCCCTCTTTATAGTATATTTTTCCAAAATTTCTCTTTTTAAGGAAAATTTTTTTAAAATATCTCTTTTTTATAAATATTTCTGTTTCTATAATTTTTTTCATAATTTTCTCTTTTTATAAAAAAAATTGTTAAAAAATTTCTCTTTTTAATAAAAAATCTTTAATAATTTCTCTTTTTAATAAAAAAAATTTTAAAACATTTATATTTCAAACATTTCTCTTTTTATAGAAAAATTTCTCTTTTTTTTACAAAAAAAAATTTTTGAAAAATTTATCTTTTTATAGAAAAATTTTAAAAAATTTTTCTTTTAAAAAATTTTTCTTTTATAAAAAAATTTTCAAAAATTTATCTTTTATAGAAAAATTTTCAAAAATTTATCTTTTTATGGACATTTTTTAAAAAATTTATATTTTTACAGAAAATTTTTCAAAAAAATTCTCTCTTTATAGAAAAATTTTCAAAAATTTCTCTCTTTACAGACAAATTTTCCAAAATTCTCTCTTTATAGAATAATTTTAAAAAATGTCTCTCTTTATAGAACATTTTTCAAACATTTTTAAAAATTTTCTCTTTTTTTCGAAATCGTTTTGTTTTTTAAATTTTGTGTAAAAAATTAATTTTTTTTTCAGAATATTTTTAAAAATTTCTCTTTTGAACAAAATTTTTAAGAAATGTCTCTTTTCAAAAAAAAATTTCTTTTTTTTCTCTCTTTTTATAAAACAGAAAATTTCTCTTTTTCTATCTTTCTTTTTATACCCTCCACCACCATCAGTGGTGATAGAGGGTATATAAATAACATTGTCATTCCGTGTGTAACACCAAGCAATATTCATCTGAGACCCAATAAAGTATATATATTCTTGATCCTTATGAAATTCTGAGTCGATTTTGCTATGTCCGTCTGTTTGTGTAAAACACGCTAATGTTAAAATGAAACAATAGAAATTCATGAAATTCACCCAAAACATTCTTTATTATTTGGTACAGTTTGGTATTGAAAATCAACAAAATCGTGAATAGTTATGAGTAAAAATTTCAGATTACATACAAAAAAAGTTAAGTTTTTTCCCAATTCTTAAGTAGTTTTCTCAGAAACTACCAAAGATATTTCGATGAATTTTTTTTCTTCCAGGGATCAAATATGTTCAAACTCATAACAATTGATCCAATATTTCACATAGCCCCCATACAAAGGTGTATATTCCCGGAAATTAGTTTATCGTTAATAACTCCCTCAAATACATCGGTATCAATACCAAATTTTGTACATGCAAATATAATATGAACAGAAATCATACTACCAACGTAGATCTCAGTCGGTACATAATAGGTCATAACTCCCATATAAGGCCCACTTCCGAAAATCATCGAAACGCACATATTTCATTGATTAATAAAGCTATTGTGATAAAATTTGACAAAAATATGTTTCGTCTATATGTGAATCACTCTAGAAAATTTTTTCCGGATAGGGCTATAATTGGTCATTGCTCCCATATAAGGCCCACTTCCGAAAATCACTTAAACGCAGATATTTAATTGTCAAATAAAGCTATCTTGATAAAATTTGACAAAAATATGTTTCGTCTATATATGAATCACTCTACGATTCATATATAGGCCCGTAATTGGTCATAGCTTCCATATAAGGTCCACTTCCGAAAATCACTTTTTCTGAATAATAAAGCTATCGGGATATAGTACGACTATGTTTTTTGTGCAAACAAATCATTCTAGCAAATTTTTTCCGGATCGGTCTATAATTGGAAATAGCTCCCATATAAGATTCACTTCAAAAAATCACTTAAATATATATACATATATATTTCATTATCAAGTAAAGCTATCTTGATAAAATTCTACACAAATATGTTTTGTGTAGATACATATGAATTACTCTATGAAATTTTTCCGGAGAGGCCCGTAATTGGTCATAGCTCCTATATGAAGTCCACTTCCGAAAATCACTTAAACCCACATATTTCATTAATTAATAAATCTATTGGAGTAAAATTCGACTTGATTTTTTTTTTTGCATATAAATCATTATATGAAATTTTTTCCTGATCGGTCCATAATTGGTCACAACTCCCATATAAGGACCATTTCCGAAAATTACTTAAACGTATTTTGTATTTTGTATTTTGTATATAAAAATATTTAAGTTTCGGCATACCCAGCAGTTCGACGGGACAGTCCCGAACTGACCACTTAACTTACCACTTGTGGTGGCCCCTAGCCACCTGACTACCCAGGTGACCAACCATTTTAACATGGGCTTGTCCTACGAGGAAGTCAATCGTCACTCTACACCCTACAAAGATACAGTAAAGAGACGATTGCCTCCGCTCTCGCTTACAAAGGGGACACTAAAGTGACGACTGTCTTCATTCTCGTTTACAAAGAGTTTATTTGTGACGAAAGGCCAAAAACATACGAATTGGAGGTGGTAAGATATTAATGGAACTAAAATTTAAAAATTTCAAGTGTCTACTCTCTAGAATACTATGGGACAATAATGTGACGATTGACCCGAAAGATATAAATTTGAGTCAACCAGATGGTGGCACATTAGTAGAAAGTAACAATCATTTCTCCAAAAGATGGGTAAAATAACTACTTTCGGAAGTACAAAAAAAAAAAAAAAAAAACAACTTTTAAGAGTATAATCTCTAGGTTACTTGAGGACAGTAAAGAGACGACTGTCTCCGCTCCCGCTTACAAAGAGGACACTAAAGTGACGACTGTCTTCATTCTCGATTACAAAGGGTACATTCGTGACGAATGACCCAAAACATACGAATTACGATCATCCAGGTGGTTAACTATTAGTGGAAATTACTGTCTTTTTCGTATGCATTGACTCTTTGTCGAACTGCTGGGTAGGCGAATGTAGCACTCTAACTTATTATAAAACATTTTTCAAAATTGTCACTTTTAAAGAACATTTTGCAAAATTCTCTCTTTTTTTTTAAATTTCTCTTTTTATAAACAATTTTTCAAAAATATCTCTTATTTATATACATTTTTCAAAAATGTATCTTCTTTTAAAGAGAATTTGTGAAAAAAAATCTTCTTTTTTTTAAATTCCTCTTTTTATAGAAAATTTAAAAAAAAAATTATTTTTTTATAGAAAATTTAAAAAAAAAAAAATATTTTTTTATAGAAAACTTTCTTAAAAATTTCTCTTATTTATATAATTTTTTTCAAAAATTTCTTCTCTTTTTATAGAAAATTTTTCAAAATTCTCTCTAGATTTTCTCTTTTTATAGAAAAATTTTCGAAATTCTCTCTTTTTATAGAAAAATTTTCAAAATTCTCTCTTTTTAGAGAAAAATTTTTAAAATTTCTGATTTTTTTATAGGAAAATTTTAAAAAATTTCTCTTTAGTTCAAAACAAATTTAAAAAAAATAAAAATAACGATTTAATACCCTTTGGCTTAAAAACAAAAAACATTTTTAATTGATTTGTTCTAATAGCACGTTAAATTTTTTGTTTTAATACCCATTATTAAAAAAACAACAACTAATTCTCTTCCATTTCTCTTCAAAATTTAGATCTTTCGTACCACCGGTACGTGACGAAGAAAGTGAAACACAACGTAAGGCACATGCTAAACGTGTACGTGAAACGAGACGTTCAACACAGGGTGTAACCCTCGATGAAATCAAGAGTGCCGAAGAATTGGTGAAAAAGAAAAATTCCACCATGAACAATAATAACAATAACAATAGCAGCAGTGTAAGTATTTTATTTAATTTTAAATAATTTAAAAATTTAAAAAAAGGAAATTTTTATTCATAATCATTTGTTTTCATATCAAACTCCCATTACATACACATACATTGAGAAAGTTTTACTCCTTTACCTCAAGAAAAAAAAATCATTGAGAAGAAATTCGAAAAAATGTGTCCTTTGTCCTGTTAACAAGAATAATTGTTTTGTTTTTTTAATAACATTAAATCATTTTATCAAATTCATAGTGTTTTTTTTTTGAACACAAAACAAACAATTCAGAAATTCATTTTGATTAAAACATATTCTCACTTTCAACCAACCACCAGCCACCCATCATTATTATCAATCAATCACGCTTATGGAAGCGGTATTATTTTGTTGTTTAAACATTGTTGGGTTTTGTTTTTTTAAGTTTTTTCCCCCTTTTTATATAAATACAATATTTACACTTTTTACAATTAATTATAGAAAAACCAATCACACTTAGACAAACAATTATCATTTAGTTAGCAAATAAAAGGATTTTGGTTAACCCTATGGAATTGGTTGGTTTATCATATCATCCATCCAACTCCAAACACCCATCCACCAGACACCCACTAATTATAATTAATTAACTTCCCTATATTAAGGGTTTGTGGTGTTTTTTTATTGGAATTGTTAATTTAATTTTAAAGTTTTTTTTTTATTGTGATGGTTTGTTTTTTACTAGAAATAATAATACCCATTTTACCCTGTATATTCTACTCATTTACCCGAAATTTTTACAACAACATTATTCATATGATTCTGAAACCAATCAATCAATCGTTTAAACAATCAATTCAAAACATATGCATTGCTGCCTGTATTATAAGCGCAAAAAAAGCAACAGAATTGGCCTTTGCTCTTCTATATAACGAAATCGTTTTCTACGATTTTCTTTTTTGTTCCTTCATATCTTTTATGCTGTTTATATAAAGCTCCACCAAACAAAAGCTATTATTTAAGTTTTTAGTTTAAATTTGAAACAAGAAAAAAAAAATATCCAAAAATAATTTTTAAATAGTTTAGGTTTGTTTTTACCTCTTTCTCTGTCTTTTTAGCCTCATTTGTTATTTCTAGAGTTTTAAATAGTGTGAAATTTCTTTTAAATTAATAGTTATTAAATGAAATAGTTTTATTAAGTATTTATTTTAATTTTTTTTGTAAAATTTATTGAATATTATTTCCCAGTGCATGATTAGGTTTATTTATATTCGTAAACTATATTTTTTATATTTAATACAATATTTTTTTTTCAGTGTGTTAGTTTTGTTCTCCTTTTGTGCATGATTGTTTACAAAAAAAAAAGTTGTTTTTTTTTTTAATTACATACACAATCCAATCGTATTTGAAGCAAAGAGAAAATTTCAACATTTCTATGTATCGAGGATAAATGTCTAGAAAAACAGTTTTGCCGAGAATAGAACTATCATGTCATACTTAACTGTTGTGGGGAAAGGCAACTCTGTTTTGTTCCGATCTTGCTATTAAGACAATATTAAGTCATAAATACAGGTTAATAATTTAAAACCCCAAGTGATGTTGAAACAGACAGCAAACGACGCTCAAATACTTTGATCTCTGGGTCTACTGCTATCAGTGACTACCAGAGAAGTTAAAAACAAAGCCTTCGTTGCGTCGAACTGTTCTAACATTTGTTAGATCAACTTCTATCAGTTTCCTTTCAATTTTAACAAGTATGTTAGTTATTCATCGTTGCCGATTGTTCCCGAGTAACCTGGGGGCAAATTCTGGCATTCGAAAGCGATCTAAAGCACAATGGAGGAATTTGAAAAACATTAGACATTTTGGATCGTTTTCGTATGTCAGAATTAGTCTGCAGGTATTTGATCAAAGTTCCCGGCATATTCTGTGTCTGGTATGCAATCAGGCATGTTTGAATATAGCCTTCCAATGTGTCCAGTATACATTGATGGCGTGTCTATTAACCACCTTTGGCCAGTTCACCTAAAGTTAAGAGCTGTTCGGCTCTTGGTATTTGATCAAAGTTCCCGGCATATTCTGTGTCTGATATGTAATCAGGCATGTTTGAATATAGCCTTCCAATGTGTCCAGTATACATTGATGATGTGTCCTTAAATCACCTTGGGTCAGTTCACCTAAAGTTAGGAGCTTTTCGGTCGTAACTGTCGCCTAATAGGCTTCAAAAGAAGGAATACTGTATATATTTCACAGTTTCCGCGTTTCCACAGCTTTGGTTGGAACTATGGAACTATTAGTTCTACATTTAAATTTTTGTGTTTACACGTACATATATATTTACGGTATAAACAATAATAAAGATGGAAACAGCTGTTTCACTTTTTGTATGTGTTTACATAAAAATACATCCCTGATCTAATGCGACTTGCTTGTTTTATGAATCATTTCAAAAAATGAAGAGAGCCATACGACTGTCCAATTTTGCACCCGTATTTTCTCTCAATGTGTGATGGTTTCATTACATATTGCATTTAGACGATCCCATCCGTTCGTTGAGCTCCCTGCAAAGGTGTTATAATACACTTTTAATCCAAAGAAGTGGACCAAATTACTAGAGCATAAGTTAGAAATGGTCTAATCATGCTTTTCTAAAGCATAATAGGCTTAACGCCCTGCACCGATATGCCTTGATCATCCTATCCTTTATGTGGTATCTCCATTTTAATATCCGTTCAAGAATTACACCCAAGTAATAAACTCTGTAGGTCATCGGTATCTTCTTGGCCAAGAAATATGGTTCAGTGTACTTAAGGACTTTTTCTTGCTTGTGAAAATGCAGATTTTAGTCTCTGGCGGCTTGACATTCAGCCCTCAGCCGACTGATCTCAGATAAAGGCCGTATTCAAGGCCTCTTCTGCCTTTTTACACAAGTAATTTGTATCATTTCCCCCTTGGTGTATTACAACATCATAGCAGACAGGTCTAAGGCCATTGTCGTTTTGAGAACTTGAGGACGCTATAAATCGTGGTTACCTAAAGCAAAGGGGACAAAATTTCATCCTATGGTGAAGCTCGAAACACATTTTTTCTATTTTTAAATCGTACTTCCCGCAGCTAATACATCAATCCATCCATCCATCCAGTTACGGAACGTCCGGACAACATGGAATTGGACTATGGATTATATAAGAGTATTAGTGTGTGAACCTCGAAACACCTTCTTCCTTTTTTATATCGTACATCCCTCAGCTTATCCATCTATCCATTCAGTTACGGAACGCCCGGACAACATGGAATTGGGCTATGTGTGTACGATATTGAAGGCGCATTCGATGTCAATGCATATCGCGAGTGTATATAGTTTAATATCGATCTCCCTTTACATAAGTATTCTTCTTATACTTGAAGTCTTTATTATGTTTTTAAACACACTATCAACTATTCGTTCCAATGGTTAATTTGGAAGCCCAAAATGTCGTTCGATAAGACTTATGAACTAGGGTCAATAGAAATAGCAAATTTCTAACCCTTGAGTACGATAGATTAAAAGGTCGAAACGCTTTCCAGTTTTTGCACTATCCCTACGACGTTTGAGAATTCCAAAGTTTTGAACAAAGGAGGAGTCTTCCTATTATCGTGATTTCCTTTTCTGATTTTAATATGTAAATTAATTTCAGAAACAACCTCATGGAAAAGTTCTTTCCCGGCAAAAAATGTTTCTAGACATTAATCTTTACAACATACGAATTATTTTTCACTATTAAATCAACGTTTCCTAAAAAATATATAAAAAATTATTTATTTCTCTACACATTTATTAAGACTTGAAACCCATTTCAGTATTTGAGACCTTGAAATCTAAAGATCAATCCATCGTTTAAAATTAACGAGGAATTTACTTTTCACAAATATTTTTTACCCTTTTTGTTGTATATTCTTTTTTAATTGTCACAAAAACACACAATGTTTTACTTTGTTAAATCAATTAATTAACAGAATGAAATGCAAGCAAATGTTACAAATGAAACGACAACAACAACAACAACATCAACCACCACTCCAATAACAGCAACAACAATAGAACAAGATTTAAGTAAAGAACAAGAACAAAAACAGAGCCAACTACAAAAATCAGAAGAAACAGATGAAATTGATAAGGAAACGAATACAAGTAAAACGAAAGAAGTAAACAGCGAACAAACTGAAGATGTAGAAGAAGATATAACGGCTTCATTTACCATAATAGCACCCAGTTCGGTAACAAAGGCAAGACCAGCATCGTTAATTGTTACCGCCACCAGTTCAACTTCTAAAGAGTTGAGTCATAATGATGAAGAAGTTAGTGCCACCTTTGTAATGCCACAACGTAAAGAATCACGAACACCTACACCAACCACTGAAAATGTGGAAACTACTTTGGTGGTTAAACCGGTATTAAAGGATAACTCACCCACTAGAGAAGTGGTGGATAAGAAAATGAATAAATTACTACAAGAAGAAGATGGCAATGAAAAGTATTCAAAATCTTCAACGCACAATAAAGAAAATGAAAATTATGAAAATAAAAAGACTGAACCGCCGCCTCTGCCGGATGTGGAATTAATGGAGTCTAACAGCAACCAACAGCCATTAAATAAAATAACAACTTCACAACGTGCCCAATCAAGCGAACGCATACGAACGGCCTTCTTTAATCCTTTACCTTTGGTTACACAAAACACCACTTTAACCACAAACACAAATGTCAATTCCAATTCGTCAGCCAACTCCTCGAACACCACACCAACGCTAGATAGTCCAGTACGCTTGCGGGACAAGCGTTCGCTTTTTGATCTTGACAATGCCAGCTCCCAAACTCTGGCCGATAAACTACGTACCGAAGCGAATAAATATTGTTACGATGAAAAACGTTGTGGTATGTTTGCAGCCGAAACCTCTGCTATACATGACATCAGTTTAGAACGTGATACTTCCGCGTCGCCCTTATTAGGAGGAGTAGGTGCTGGTGGTTCTGTGGGATCGGCTAATACCTCCTCTTATAATTACAATACACGACGTAGTTTGGATTCATCTTCGTTGCCAAATTCTCCTTTACACACACGCGATAGAGAGGCGGCTGGTAGTGATACCTCTTCCACAACTTCAACAATAACAAGTGTTGGTGCTGGTGGGGCCGCTGGAAGTGGCGGAAATGTTGGTGGTAGTTTTAATAATATTTTAGCAGCAGATCGCAGACCATCATGGCGTTTAAAATTTGATTCTGGTTCTAAGGTATGATTCAATACAATACACAACAACAAATAACACTTAAAACTAGAGATTATAAACAAATCGTTTAATATATAACGAAGGGTTTAAAGTTTATTATACAGTTATCCTTTGTTAAAAGTATGCTAGACTTTTGTTGCGTTATATATGAAACCTTTTGTTTTGTCCACAGTTTAAAATTTAGTTTCAAAAACACTGTTTTACACAAAAACACTTTTAGACAAAATTTACGTTCGTTTTCGTTAAAACTATTACCAATGAAATTGAAAAATAAATAAGTTTTTCTTTTTATAAATGTGCGTCCTTACGCATGCTGTATGTTTTTTATCTACTTAATATACAATTGATCAACTAAATATGCGTTATTATTATGTTTTCTATATAAAATTTTATAAATAATTATGATTTCTTTAGGCCTTTTATTTATATGTTTAAAACAAATTCTTCTTTATCAGCTTTTCCATCGCCATACAAAGTTCTTCATTATTTATCGTTTTTTCGTAATTAACATTTTCGTACTAATTTTATAAATTTTCCAAAATTTTCTTGTTATTAACATAAAACTAATTCGTATTTTATTTGTAGTTCTTTGTTGCTTTTGCTTTATTTATTGTTTATCTTTACTAATCTATTTAAAACTATTCTAAATAAACATTTGATTTCATTGAAATTCGTTTCATTTACTTTTACTTTATGTATTTTCATCTAAATGTTGTGCATTGATCATTTCGTTTCTATTTTTCTTTATTTTTTTAAATTATTTTTAAAATTAGTTTGTAGTTTTTTATAATTATTGACTTCTTTTTTGTTTTTTGGTAGTTGTTAGTGTATTTTTTGTCAAAAATAATGAATTTTTTTATTGATAAAAATTGTATATAGTATTTTTTCGAAAGCAGTAGTTTGTAGAGCTTTAGATTTTCAAAATTTAAGTAAAATTGAAATTGGCCACAAAGATTACAAAAAGTTAACCTAACATTTTGTGTTTGACCAGATGAATTGGAATTTCTGTTATACAGGTTGTCCCTTTTCACACCCTTCGATTTGTTCTGTAAAAACTGGAGGATGGTTCAAACTAGCATCGACTAAGTTGAATCAAAACTATTCAGTCGCACAAAAAACATTTATTTGGCTATTGTTTAGACGGATATAACCATCAGTTCATTTAAAATGGAACTACCTACCTTGGAGACAACTTCGTTATAATAACTTCTGCAGTAATCGTTATATGATAGATATAATTTCCTGACATTACAGTCACATGATTTCTGACATTCTACAGGGGGTTTCAGAGGATTATCTCACTCTTACGTATCCATAGAGTCGCTTATAAAACAAATGTTTAAACTAAGAAAGTGAAGTGAATTGTCGTTTCCACGACAATTGGATTTTCGCTCCTGAAAGACCCGAGTCATACTCGGTCAAAGATTGTCAACCCAACGACAGCTGTATCACAATCGACCACAATCGAACTGTTACAACAACAAAGAAAGTGAAGCCTCCTGATTTTCTTAGAGAATCAAATGACTTGAATACAGTTTAGATGCCTTATCAAATAGGTTACTTAAGTGTTATGTCCCACAAAAAGGTCCACTCGAAGACCGTGAAGTATATTATGGTTTCATTCGTTGAAAGTGAAGATTCAGAAATAGAGAAACAAAACAATAGAAAAACCGAAAGAACATAAAGAGAGAGTAGGAGACAGATCAATTCACAAGGGTTCTCAAGAGGGCCTAAATCTGCCTACAAACCCCAGTCGAAGAAATTACTAATTCCCCTGATAAAATCAAGAAGACTGCGAATAGGTTCGGCATGGAACGTATTTCCTAGCCATTTCAGCAAACTTTATGCTCAAACGTCTATAGTTCTTCAGCATCTTCGCATAACCTACAATAGACCACCTGTCGAGAGCTAATAATGGCTCCAATGCCAAGAGATACACACCTTTCAACTTTATTGAGCATCTTCTGTCCTTTCTAAAAGCATCCCACCAGAAGTCAGAAAAGGCCCGACAACCAGTGTGTGAATCCAATTAAACATCTGCTTGTCCTAGAAGGAAGTCAATCGTCACTCTATAGATTACAAAAGGAAGTAGTGGGAGTAGGCTGGTCCTACTATTTACTTTCAATACATGGCAATAAACCTTTGCCCTTATGTTATTAAGTATATACTTTCTATATTATTTGGGGACGGTAAGGTGACGACTGTCTTCGCTCTAGCTAAACGTACACTAAAGTGACGACCTTCACTATCGTTTAGAAGAAAGTCAATCGTCATCCCATAGATTGTAAAGAGAAGGCTAGTCCTAAGAAGTCAATACATAACAATGAACCTTTTCCCTTATGTTATTAAGTATCTACTCTCAAGCTGACGACTGTCTCCGCTCTCGCTTACAAAACGTAATCTAAAGTGACGATGGTCTTCACTCTCGTTTAGAAAGAATACATTCGTGATGAAACACGAATTAGAGTCAACCATATAGTTAGACGTTAGTGGAAATAACTGTAAATTTTGGATGCTCTTTGACTCTTTGTGAACTGCATATGCAATATAGACACCATCACCCACGCTATAGTAGTAATAGTACCGATTCTATTCCATATGGACTAAAAGAACCAACCTTAAAATTTGATCATACTAAAAGTTCCTCATTCTGTCGTCTATTTGTTCTTAGAGTCACTCTCACAGAACAATATCAGTTCCTTATGTATATACGATGATTTAACCCTAAAAGATGTCTGAATGTCCTAATTTACAAATATTCTCAAGCCCTGGTAAAGAATACAGCCTGGAACGGGAAATACTACAATATTTCGAGCATTTAATACCGACTTCTAGGGGTAGGCCAATTGGAGATTCCTTTAAAAAGGTGGAATTTGCAGATAGTATTCTGCATATAGATTTATTATAAAATTTTCCTCTCCTAGCACAAGCTTAAAATTAACACAATAATGTTATAACTCAACAATTGTGGTCTATAAGTAGAGCTTATATAGGCAAATAAGAAAAAGAGATAATATTGAAGCAAAACTGAGGTTTGGTTTCCGAAATTATTTAGATTTAGATATAGAAATAATTTGGTTAGAAGTTCGGAATCTTCGCTATAATCTCCAATTTCACAAAACTGCTAATTGCCATGATTAAACCTAAAATATTGCATGGGTTGCACCTAGCAATGTTTCCCAGCTCATCATGGAATCTACTTCTGAGACTCCATATTCTAGGGCAACGGCAATAATATCAATTGTTTCTAGCTCATCAATAGCCTCGCATTACCTACAGAAGATTGGCATGAGATTACCCCTTTAACTAAGTAATAAAAGTGCTAATGGAACATCTATCCAGTCTAATAAGTATCTATGTTGAGATTTCATCTATTCTTTTCCGTAAGACCTCTGATACCTTTGAAAAATGGACTGTAAACCATTTTTCTGTTACAGGACTGGTTGTCAATGTCCCGACATTTTTCAGAGATCATCCTATAAAAATGTTCCTTCTATTTAAGTCAAGGTTCGAACCTTCTCTTCTTCCGCTACATCATTTTTACATTCTACGGCTAGACACGTCATAAATTGTAACCTCAATCCCCAGATCGCTAGGAACTTTAGAAATTTCAAATTGAGATCTGAAGTGATAAATTGCACATCTATAACCAAACTAATTAAAGCGTTGAGAAAGTTAAATCGCCTTAAATCTATTACGATTACGATTTAAACTGAAAAAACATGTTTTTGAGACCTTATAAAAGCGGGCAGACATCTTTATCTCTTAAAATCGGTAATGTCGTTTGAAATTACAATTCGTCAGCTTCAAAGTAAAGGTTTAACCTATGCCATAGCTTCGTCATATTTCGAGGTATCTTAAAGCAACTATAAATCCCCAAAAATTTTATATTGCAAAAACTTTATCGGACGATATCTTCCCAAGTGCAACAGATTTTTAAAAGGATTTTTATGAGAAAAATGTTAACAATTTGAGGCAACAAATTGTATAAGTTTATCACAGAAAGTAAAATGGAGATAAACCTTTATTTTTAAGTCTACAGATTGGACTTTTAAGATGATATAACAGATTTTATCAACAAGCAGGTCTTTGCACAGTTACAACGACTCAAATATAGACAAAAGCGAGGATTTTTCAGTTTTTAAGACACGATATCTCATAAACGTGATGTGAGAAGGCCAGAATCAGTCTGATTTGGATTTAGAGATACATAATCCTTTAGATAAGTATATTTAGGTCTCCGGGTTAAAAATTTCTTGACCTTCGTTGCCCAAAAAATAATTCCTGATTAAGTAATTATCGCCGATAACTTTGAATGGTTGTAAAAATTGAAATATCGAAAATACAAACAATAACATTATAAAAGTATATACTTTTCCCAAATAATCCAATAATATTTAGTAATAAAATGCTACTTTTTAGATAGAATAATACCAAACAAATCTCAAAATACTAAAATCGGTTATGGTGCAGCAACAAATTAAACCAAAAATACTACTCAATTTTAAACCAAAATAAAAATAAATAATATCCCTCTAATGAATGTAGTAGAGTTTGCAAATTACCAAATATTTTTAATTAACAAAAGAAGAGAAAAAAGTTAAACTACTACTAAACTAAATAAAGCATAATTTACATAAATAAAAAATACACAACATACTCTTACTTACAGAAAAGATAAATTTAATTTTTTATTAAAATTTATAAATCATATTTATTAAGTTTCATATTGTAATTCTTAAGTATTAAATAAATTTTAATATATAATTATTTTACAATAAAAAACAGTTTAAACTGGAAGATGCTACCAGCGGAAATACATATCCACCGAATAATAGCACTATAATACCAAGTGCTCCAGCTGTTATAGCTGCTGCTAATTCCATGTCACAGCGAAGAGTTAACAGTTCTAATAGTAAGTTTAGTATTTATTTTTTAATGTCCATCTATAACAATAATAACAATTTTCTTTTATCCACTTCCCAGTTTCTTCTTCCAATCAATCGTTGAATTCAATTGGTCGACCAGTCTCGGCACCACCGACTAGTAATTTAAGCAATAATAGTACTACTACAGCTAGTTCTAACACCTCCAACACTAGTTCCAGCAGCCACTCTAACAACGATGATAAACTTAATGACAATAGTTCCAGCAGTAGTAGTTTCACATCATATCCATCACGTCGTTCTACTACTACAGCCACATCGACTACATCGTTAACACCCGATTCGCAAACAACTGGTACAAGCACTTCGAATACGGTTAACACCTCAACATCAAATCTTCACAGCAGCAATAATGATGATAAAGGTAAGACGGCTTCATTAAGTTCTTTTTAATTTAACCTCTAAGTTAAATGCTTCTTTATCTCTTGCTTTTTACAGATAATGACAAGGAAAATGATAATCGCAGTGCTTTAGCAACACAGGCTGTTATTCAGCGAAGAAGAAAACCAAAACGTCGCTCAACTGGTGTTGTACATATCGATATGGATGTAAGTTTTGCATACCATTTTTATAATTTTATATTTTTTTATTTATTTGCTATCTACTGTTCTATAGTCCAGACTATTGACTGTTCTATAGTCCAGACTATAAACTGTTCTATAGTCCAAACTATAAACTGTTCTATAGTCCAAACTATAAACTTTTCTATAGTCCAAACTGTAGACTGTTCTATAGTCCAGACTATTGACTGTTCTATAGTCTAGACTATTGACTGTTCTATAGTCTAGACTATAGACGGTTCTATAGTCCAGACTATAGACGGTTCTATAGTCCAGACTATAGACGGTTCTATAGTCCAGACTATAGACGGTTCTATAGTCCAGACTATAGACGGTTCTATAGTCCAGACTATAGACTGTTCTATAGTCCAGACTATAGACGGTTCTATAGTCCAGACTATAGACGGTTCTATAGTCCAGACTATAGACTGTTCTATAGTCCAGACTATAGACTGTTCTATAGTCCAGACTATAGCCTGTTCTATAGTCCAGACTATAGACTGTTCTATAGTCCAGCCTATAGACTGTTCTATAGTCCAGACTTTAGACTATTCTATAGTTCCGACTATAGACTGTTCTATAGTCCAGACTTTAGACTGTTTTATAGTCCCGACTTTAGACTATTCTATAGTTCCGACTATAGACTATTTTTTAGTCCAGACTATAGACGGTTCTATAGTCCAGACTATAGACGGTTCTATAGTCCAGACTATAGACGGTTCTATAGTCCAGACTATAGACGGTTCTATAGTCCAGACTATAACCGGTTCTATAGTCCAGACTATAGCCGGTTCTATAGTCCGGACTATAGCCGGTTCTATAGTCCAGACTATAGCCGGTTCTATAGTCCGGACTATAGCCGGTTCTATAGTCCAGACTATAGCCGGTTCTATAGTCCAGACTATAGCCGGTTCTATAGTCCAGACTATAGCCGGTTCTATAGTCCAGACTATAGCCGGTTCTATAGTCCAGACTATAGCCGGTTCTATAGTCCAGACTATAGCCGGTTCTATAGTCCAGACTATAGACGGTTCTATAGTCCAGACTATAGACGGTTCTATAGTCCAGACTATAGACGGTTCTATAGTCCAGACTATAGACGGTTCTATAGTCCAGACTATAGACGGTTCTATAGTCCAGACTATAGACGGTTCTATAGTCCAGACTATAGACGGTTCTATAGTCCAGACTATAGACGGTTCTATAGTCCAGACTATAGACGATTCTATAGTCCAGACTATAGACGGTTCTATAGTCCAGACTATAGACGGTTCTATAGTCCAGACTATAGACGGTTCTATAGTCCAGACTATAGACGGTTCTATAGTCCAGACTATAGACGGTTCTATAGTCCAGACTATAGACGGTTCTATAGTCCAGACTATAGACGGTTCTATAGTCCAGACTATAGACGGTTCTATAGTCCAGACTATAGACGGTTCTATAGTCCAGACTATAGACGGTTCTATAGTCCAGACTATAGACGGTTCTATAGTCCAGACTATAGACGGTTCTATAGTCCAGACTATAGACGGTTCTATAGTCCAGACTATAGACGGTTCTATAGTCCAGACTATAGACGGTTCTATAGTCCAGACTATAGACGGTTCTATAGTCCAGACTATAGACGGTTCTATAGTCCAGACTATAGACGGTTCTATAGTCCAGACTATAGACGGTTCTATAGTCCAGACTATCGACGGTTCTATAGTCCAGACTATAGACGGTTCTATAGTCCAGACTATCGACGGTTCTATAGTCCAGACTATAGACGGTTCTATAGTCCAGACTATAGACGGTTCTATAGTCCAGACTATAGACGGTTCTATAGTCCAGACTATAGACGGTTCTATAGTCCAGACTATAGACGGTTCTATAGTCCAGACTATAGACGGTTCTATAGTCCAGACTATAGACTGTTCTATAGTCCAGACTATAGACGGTTCTATAGTCCAGACTATAGACGGTTCTATAGTCCAGACTATAGACGGTTCTATAGTCCAGACTATAGACGGTTCTATAGTCCAGACTATAGACGGTTCTATAGTCCAGACTATAGACGGTTCTATAGTCCAGACTATAGACGGTTCTATAGTCCAGACTATAGACGGTTCTATAGTCCAGACTATAGACTGTTCTATAGTCCAGACTATAGACTGTTCTATAGTCCAGACTATAGACTGTTCTATAGTCCAGACTATAGACTGTTCTATAGTCCAGACTATAGACTGTTCTATAGTCCAGACTATAGACTGTTCTACAGTCCAGACTATAGACTGTTCTATAGTCCAGACTATATATTGTTCTATAGTCCAGACTATAGACTGTTCTATAGTCCAGACTATAGACTGTTCTATAGTCCAGACTATAGACTGTTCTATAGTCCAGACTATAGACTGTTCTATAGTCCAGACTATAGACTGTTCTATAGTCCAGACTGTAGACTGTTCTATAGTCCAGACTATAGACTGTTCTATAGTCCAGACTATAGACTGTTCTATAGTCCAGACTATAGACTGTTCTATAGTCCAGACTGTAGACTGTTCTATAGTCCAGACTGTAGACTGTTCTATAGTCCAGACTATAGACTGTTCTATAGTCCAGACTATAGACTGTTCTATAGTCCAGACTATAGACTGTTCTATAGTCCAGACTACAGACTGTTCTATAGTCCAGACTATAGACTGTTCTATAGTCCAGACTATAGACTATTCTATAGTCCAGACTATAGACTGTTCTATAGTCCAGACTATAGACTGTTCTATAGTCCAGACTATAGACTGTTCTATAGTCCAGACTATAGACTGTTCTATAGTCCAGACTATAGACTGTTCTATAGTCCAGACTATAGACTGTTCTATAGTCCAGACTATAGACTGTTCCACAGTGGGGCAGAATGGAAATTTTTTGGAAATAAATCTGGCATTTCTAAACGGCTGATCCGATCGGGATAAAATTTGGCGTGAGCGTAGCCAAGGAGTATTCGAGTTTAAGTTTTGAAGATGAACCCTGCAGATGCCCCAGGGACGGCGCTGTGGCGGCTCAAAGTAGGGTACCTACGACATGTAAAATTTTTAAACTCGTGCCATTTTTTTGTTTTTCACCCAAATACAAAGATTTTTATATTTTGTGAAAGCGCTCGACGAGATCTTGAAAAAACATGCTTGGACATACTACTTATCTCTTATAATATCCGAGTTATAGGCATTTAAAAATTTAGTGATACAAAATTTACCATACCTTGGTCCGCCTTTTTTTGAATACCGGGCGTAATTTTGGACCAAATGGACTCAATTTTTTCTTGTTAGTTAGACAACAAAATTTCCAATAATATACAAAAAATTTCAGATCAATATCATTTACAGATCCAAAAATATACGTTTTTTAATTTAAAAATTCAAAAATTTTTAGATTTTTGGCGTTTTTTTGCCAAAAATGTGTCTTAACTCTTTTATCAATAAAATAAAATTTTTATTAAGAACATATAACAATTTTATAGTTTTCTAAAATGTATCTTTACGCAGAACGCTTTGGCGTAAAAAACTAGTCCTATTTTTTGAAAATGTTGCCACTGCGTCCTTCCGAATATGACCTATTTTTTATCAAAACTTCAACTTTGGGCGACATGTTCTAAAATCCCAAAGCTGGGATCAGAAAACTGAAAGCAGTTTTGGAAACCTCAATATGTTTTCTATTTACTCCAAAAGTATTTTCCCAGCCCTGAAAGAAATGTGGACCCTATGGGCAAAAAAGTAAAAAATCCCATTTTTTGGATTTTCATTCCTATTTTTGGGATTTGCGGGATGCCCTTTGACCTTTTCAATTTTTTTTTGCATATTCTTATTTGAAATGACAAATTTAACAAGCGTTGAAAATTTCATTGAGTTTTGTTCATAAATAAAGATTTTGTCATATATTACATATTTGTTTTATTTCTAAAACTATGATTTATATCAAAATTTTAATAGGATCGCAAATAGCTACAACAATTTAGTCCATATTTATCCCTTAATATCATTTTTTAGTTAGATATGGAAATTCTCGACCCTTTACAAAAAATTTCAAGCCAATATCTCAATTACATTCAAAAATATGTTCATTTAAACCTGTGTCCTTTAATTTCATCTTTTTCATATTTTAGTATTAAGTATGACAGAACATACATTTGGTGTTGAATAAAATATTTGGACAATTTTTAAAAATTATTTAGTTAATTATTTTATTATAATATTGTATATAAAATAAAAAAAAATATAATTTTATTATGAGCCACGCACAACAACACCTAAATCATTTGTACTACCGGAACTTGAAAGTGGTTTGTCGATGTTTAATCCCATCTGAACTTTAAATTCTTCTTGGATTCTGCTTTTTTCCGCAGCTCTCAGTTCTTTCAATTCTTCATTATTTTTTGTTGATTTAGTAGGATAGTTTGTTTTTTTTTCCTGGATCGCCTTGTATGATGGAAATATATTGTGTCCTTTTTCATGCAGAGCTTTCCTTAATATTTGGTACTTATTTCGACTGAGACCCAGTTCCAACATAAGCGCTATTGCTTCCTCTTCAGTAAAACTTGATTATGATGTTGGAGTTGGTATACTTTCCACAATTCGCTTAAGTCGTTTTGGTGATGCATTAGGAAGAATAGTTGCAATATGTACGACATCCATATGTTGGTTTTCCTTTTTCAGCATTTCGTTAAATGTATCAGCAATTTCCTCATTTGAGATTGAAAAAAGTTTTTGTGTGACCCTCTTTTTTTTTACCTTGAACATAAGTCTTCGTATGACTTGCAAGGCGCTCCTATTGATGTGTTGTAAATTGAGATTTCCGTAGTAGTTTCCATCCAACTACAAAATTTTAATCGAAATTTCTTTTGATTTCCATCCACAGACTTACTTTTTACATCAAAAAGTTTCAAAAAGTTTTCAATTTTTGATATGCCCGTTTTGTCTACTTTTCTACTATATGTAGTTTTTATATAATTTGAAATGTCTTCAATTCTTTCTGGCCCTTTTGAAGATATACTCCATAAAACGGAACACAACTCTTCGTACTTTAATGTAATCTTCATTGTAGATTTATTAAATATGGTACTTAAAATCTGAGAAGTTTACTTATATACCAATTCTTGTCATTTCCGATACAGGTATTCCAAAGTAAAAAATTACGAATTGTCTACCTATTAACATTTAGGACTATATTACTATAACCTGTAATTCAGTCATTGATATTTCTTATTAGTGAATGAATCGAAATTATCATTACCTGTACATTTTTACCTACATGATCATAAACGAAACAGAACGAAATGATCTGTCGAAAAAATTTAGGTAAAAAATAGTTATAAATTTTTGAAAATTTAAGCATAATAGGACCTTTCAGTTATAAGGATAAGCAAACAAATAGAAAATAGGTAAATATAAGATTTAAATATGTGCTGTCATACTTAATACTAAAATATGAAAAAGATGAAATTAAAGGACACAGGTTTAAATGAACATATTTTTGAATGTAATTGAGATATTGGCTTGAAATTTTTTGTAAAGGGTCGAGAATTTCCATATCTAAATAAAAAATTATATTAAGGGATAAATATGGACTAAATTGTTGTAGCTATATGCGATCCTATTAAAATTTTGATATAAATCATAGTTTTAGAAATTAAACAAATATGTAATATATGACAAAATCTTTATTTATGAACAAAACTCAATGAAATTTTCAACGCTTGTTAAATTTGTCATTTCAAATAAGAATATACAAAAAAAAAATTGAAAAGGTCAAAGGGCATCCCGCAATTCCCAAAAATAGGAATGAAAATCCCAAAAATGGGATTTTTTATTTTTTTGCCCATAGGGTCCACATTTCTTTCAGGGCTGGGAAAATACTTTTGGAGTAAATAGAAAACATATTGAGGTTTCCAAAACTGCTTTCAGTTTTCTGATCCCAGCTTTGGGATTTTAGAACATGTCGCCCAAAGTTGAAGTTTTGATAAAAAATAGGTCATATTCGGAAGGACGCAGTGGCAACATTTTCAAAAAATAGGACTAGTTTTTACGCCAAAGCGTTCTGCGTAAAGATACCTTTTAGAAAACTATAAAATTGTTATATGTTCTTAATAAAAATTTTATTTTATTAATAAAAGAGTTAAGACACATTTTTGGCAAAAAAACGCCAAAAATCTAAAAATTTTTGAATTTTTAAATTAAAAAACGTATATTTTTGGATCTGTAAATGATATTGATCTGAAATTTTTTGTATATTATTGGAAATTTTGTTGTCTAACTAACAAGAAAAAATTGAGTCCATTTGGTCCAAAATTACGCCCGGTATTCAAAAAAAGGCGGACCAAGGTATGGTAAATTTTGTATCACTAAATTTTTAAATGCCTATAACTCGGATATTATAAGAGATAAGTAGTATGTCCAAGCATGTTTTTTCAAGATCTCGTCGAGCGCTTTCACAAAATATAAAAATCTTTGTATTTGGGTGAAAAACAAAAAAATGGCACGAGTTTAAAAATTTTACATGTCGTAGGTACCCTACTTTGAGCCGCCACAGCGCCGTCCCTGGGGCATATGCAGGGTTCATCTTCAAAACTTAAACTCGAATACTCCTTGGCTATGCTCACGCCAAATTTTATCCCGATCGGATCAGCCGTTTAGAAATGCCAGATTTATTTCCAAAAAATTTCCATTCTGCCCCACTGTGTGTTCTATAGTCCAGACTATAGACTGTTCTATAGTCCAGACTATAGACTGTTCTATAGTCCAGACTATAGACTGTTCTATAGTCCAGACTATAGACTGTTCTATAGTCCAGACTATAGACTGTTCTATAGTCCAGACTATAGACTGTTCTATAGTCCAGACTATAGACTGTTCTATAGTCCAGACTATAGACTGTTCTATAGTCCAGACTATAGACTGTTCTATAGTCCAGACTATAGACTGTTCTATAGTCCAGACTATAGACTGTTCTATAGTCCAGACTATAGACTGTTCTATAGTCCAGACTATAGACTGTTCTATAGTCCAGACTATAGACTGTTCTATAGTCCAGACTATAGACTGTTCTATAGTCCAGACTATAGACTGTTCTATAGTCCAGACTATAGACTGTTCTATAGTCCAGACTATAGACTGTTCTATAGTCCAGACTATAGACTGTTCTATAGTCCAGACTATAGACTGTTCTATAGTCCAGACTATAGACTGTTCTATAGTCCAGACTATAGACTGTTCTATAGTCCAGACTATAGACTGTTCTATAGTCCAGACTATAGACTGTTCTATAGTCCAGACTATAGACTGTTCTATAGTCCAGACTATAGACTGTTCTATAGTCCAGACTATAGACTGTTCTATAGTCCAGACTATAGACTGTTCTATAGTCCAGACTATAGACTGTTCTATAGTCCAGACTATAGACTGTTCTATAGTCCAGACTATAGACTGTTCTATAGTCCAGACTATAGACTGTTCTATAGTCCAGACTATAGACTGTTCTATAGTCCAGACTATAGACTGTTCTATAGTCCAGACTATAGACTGTTCTATAGTCCAGACTATAGACTGTTCTATAGTCCAGACTATAGACTGTTTATAGTCCAGACTATAGACTGTTCTATAGTCCAGACTATAGACTGTTTATAGTCCAGACTATAGACTGTTCTATAGTCCAGACTATAGACTGTTCTACAGTCCAGACTATAGACTGTTCTATAGTCCAGACTATAGACTGTTCTATAGTCCAGACTATAGACTGTTCTATAGTCCAGACTATAGACTGTTCTATAGTCCAGACTATAGACTGTTCTATAGTCCAGACTATAGACTGTTCTATAGTCCAGACTATAGACTGTTCTATAGTCCAGACTATAGACTGTTCTATAGTCCAGACTATAGACTGTTCTATAGTCCAGACTATAGACTGTTCTATAGTCCAGACTATAGACTGTTCTATAGTCCAGACTATAGACTGTTCTATAGTCCAGACTATAGACTGTTCTATAGTCCAGACTATAGACTGTTCTATAGTCCAGACTATAGACTGTTCTATAGTCCAGACTATAGACTGTTCTATAGTCCAGACTATAGACTGATGTTCTATAGTCCAGACTATAGACTTATAGACTGTTCTATAGTCCAGACTATAGACTGTTCTATAGTCCAGACTATAGACTGTTCTATAGTCCAGACTATAGACTGTTCTATAGTCCAGACTATAGACTGTTCTATAGTCCAGACTATAGACTGTTCTATAGTCCAGACTATAGACTGTTCTATAGTCCAGACTATAGACTGTTCTATAGTCCAGACTATAGACTGTTCTATAGTCCAGACTATAGACTGATCTATTGTCCAGACTATAGACTGTTCTATAGTCCAGACTATAGACTGTTCTATAGTCCAGGCTATAGATTGTTCTATAGTCCAGGCTATAGATTGTTTTTTAGTTCAGACTATAGATTGGTTTTAGTCCAGGCAATAGAATGTTCCGTAGTCACTGCTAGATTATTTTATAGTTAAAGTGTGGTAGTCAGGACTGTACTGTATTCCAAACTATGGACTCTTCCATAGACAAGACTATAAACTTTTCTATAGTGAGGAATATAAACTCGTCTATAGTCAATTTGTTTTAAAGTCAAAATTCAGACTGTCCTAAAAAAGTCAAGTTGTATCAACATACGAACATTTTATAATATTCCAGTTGTTAAAAACAATTTTTCTTTTATTAATGGTTATTAACTATCGATTAAAGTAGAGTAGTAAAGAATTTTTATGATCGTTAGTGTTTTGAGTGTGCAATATAACGGTCTCTGCAAGAGCCACAGACAGTTATTCACATACTTCAAGATTAATTTCTTAATTTAAACCACAGTGTTAGCTGGACGAGAAATAAAATATTTTTAATTATATCTCGTTAATAGATTTCCCCATTTTTATTTTCTTTTTTGTTCCTTTCAAAAGATCAAAGTAAAGTTTAATAAACTGTTATAAGCTAAACAATTATTTTTATAGAAATTTTCTTTACATTAGATTAAAAAAGTATTGGTTTTTCCAAATCACGTTTGTATTGTACGTGAAGAAATATTTAAATAAAACACATGGTCAATATTAATGTTTTGTTTTTTTCTATTTTTGTTTCATCTGCTTCACAAATCCCATAAAACATTTGCTTTTGCTGATTTTAATATTGACCTTGACTTTGTTAGTTGAAATAAAATTTTACGATATAATCTTTACATATAATTATTGTGTCGATTTTATTTACGTTTATGTAAACTATTTTCATTTTATTACTTACGTCAATATTTAAAATTGAATTATTTATTTTTCTTTTAAAAATTTTTGTTTCATGTTATTTATTTATTTATTATTTTCTGTTACAGGAATTAGATCCAGAGAAGCAAGATTCTGCCAATGATAATGAAGAAAAAGAGAAAGAGGTGAGTGATTCGTAGTTATTTTAATTGATTTACATTTTTACATAAATTTTGTAAATTTTTATAAAAATGAATGCAAATTTCTTTCACCGGCTGTTTAAAGTGTTTATTTATATTTTTAGTTTAGTGTAAATTTTTAAAAATGTATATTTGATAAATTACTATATAAAAATATTTATGGATTTGCGATTATTGTTAAAAATAATACAATTTGATAAATGGCGCAGTTTTTAAAAATAATGAATTATAAGATATTTATTATATTTGATTTTAAAAATGAACATTTTACTATAATTTATGATTTTCGAAAAAATAAAAATATTTATTGAAAAATTTATTTACGGACATAGTCAATAGTTATATACGGAATACTCTCGATTGTTTTCTAGTCAAAACTATAGACTGTTCTATAGTACAGATTATAGTTTGTTCTCCAGTCCAGACAATAGACTATTGTATAGTCCAAACAGTAGACAATTCTATAGTTCCATAGTACAGATAGTCTATAGTCTAGACTATTCTATAGTCCAGACTATTGACTATTCTATAGTCCATACTATAGATTATTCTGCAGTTCAAACTATATACTATTATATAGTCAAGACTATAGACTATTGCATAGTCCAAACTATAGACTATTGCATAGTACAAACTATAGACTATTCTATAGTCCAGACTATAGACTATTCTATAGTCAAGACTATAGGCTATTCTATAGTCCAGACTATAGACTATTCTATAGTCCAGACTATAGACTATTCTATAGTCGGGACTATAGACTATTCTATAGTCGGGACTATAGACCAGTCTATAGACTATTCTATAGTCGGGACTATAGACCAGTCTATAGACTATTCTATAGTCGGGACTATAGACCAGTCTATAGACTATTCTATAGTCCAAACTATAGTCCAGACTATAGACTATTCTATAGTCCAGACTATAGACTATTCTATAGTCCAGACTATAGACTATTCTATAGTCCAGACTATAGACTATTCTATAGTCCAAACTATATACTATTCTATAGTCCAAACTATATACTATTCTATAGTCCAGACTATAGACTATTCTATAGTCCAGACTATAGACTATTCTATAGTCCAGACTATAGACTATTCTATGGTCCAGACTATAGACTATTCTATAGTCCAAACTATAGACTATTCTATAGTCCAGACTATAGACTATTCTATAGTCCAGACTATAGACTATTCTATAGTCCAGACTATAGACTATTCTATAGTCCAGACTATAGACTATTCTATAGTCCAGACTATAACTATTCTATAGTCCAGACTATAGACTATTCTATAGTCCAAACTATAGACTATTCTATAGTCCAGACTATAGACTATTCTATAGTCCAGACTATAGACTATTCTATAGTCCAGACTATAGACTATTCTATAGTCCAGACTATAGACTATTCTATAGTCCAGACTATAGACTATTCTATAGTCCAGACTATAGACTATTCTATAGTCCAGACTATAGACTATTCTATAGTCCAGACTATAGACTATTCTATAGTCCAGACTATAGACTATTCTATAGTCCAGACTATAGACTATTCTATAGTCCAGACTATAGACTATTCTATAGTCCAGACTATAGACTATTCTATAGTCCAGACTATAGACTATTCTATAGTCCAGACTATAGACTATTCTATAGTCCAGACTATAGACTATTCTATAGTCCAGACTATAGACTATTCTATAGTCCAGACTATAGACTATTCTATAGTCCAGACTATAGACTATTCTATAGTCCAGACTATAGACTATTCTATAGTCCAGACTATAGACTATTCTATAGTCCAGACTATAGACTATTCTATAGTCCAGACTATAGACTATTCTATAGTCCAGACTATAGACTATTCTATAGTCCAAACTATAGACTATTCTATAGTCCAAACTATAGACTATTCTATAGTCCAAACTATAGACTATTCTATAGTCCAGACTATAGACTATTCTATAGTCCAGACTATAGACTATTCTATAGTCCAGACTATAGACTATTCTATAGTCCAGACTATAGACTATTCTATAGTCCAGACTATAGACTATTCTATAGTCCAGACTATAGACTATTCTATAGTCCAGACTATAGACTATTCTATAGTCCAGACTATAGACTATTCTATAGTCCAGACTATAGACTATTCTATAGTCCAGACTATAGACTATTCTATAGTCCAGACTATAGATATCCAGACTATAGACTATTCTATAGTCCAGACTATAGACTATTCTATTGTCCAGACTATAGACTATTCTATAGTCCAGACTATAGACTATTCTATAGTCCAGACTATAGACTATTCTATAGTCCAGACTATAGACTATTCTATAGTCCAGACTATAGACTATTCTATAGTCCAGACTATAGACTATTCTATAGTCCAGACTATAGACTATTCTATAGTCCAGACTATAGACTATTCTATAGTCCAGACTATAGACTATTCTATAGTCCAGACTATAGACTATTCTATAGTCCAGACTATAGACTATTCTATAGTCCAGGCTATAGACTATTCTATAGTCCAGACTATAGACTATTCTATAGTCCAGGCTATAGACTATTCTATAGTCCAGACTATAGACTATTCTATAGTCCAGACTATAGACTATTCTATAGTCCAGACTATAGACTATTCTATAGTCCAGACTATAGACTATTCTATAGTCCAGACTATAGACTATTCTATAGTCCAGACTATAGACTATTCTATAGTCCAGACTATAGACTATTCTATAGTCCAGACTATAGACTATTCTATAGTCCAGACTATAGACTATTCTATAGTCCAGACTATAGACTATTCTATAGTCCAGACTATAGACTTTTCCAGACTGTAGTCTGTTCTATAGTCCAGACTGTAGTCTGTTCTATAGTCCAGACTGTAGTCTGTTCTATAGTCCAGACTGTAGTCTGTTCTATAGTCCAGACTGTAGTCTGTTCTATAGTCCAGACTGTAGTCTGTTCTATAGTCCAGACTGTAGTCTGTTCTATAGTCCAGACTGTAGTCTGTTCTATAGTCCAGACTGTAGTCTGTTCTATAGTTCAGACTGTAGTCTGTTCTATAGTCCAGACTGTAGTCTGTTCTATAGTCCAGACTGTAGTCTGTTCTATAGTCCAGACTGTAGTCTGTTCTATAGTCCAGACTGTAGTCTGTTCTATAGTCTAGACTGTAGTCTGTGCTATAGTCCAGACTGTAGTCTGTTCTATAGTCCAGACTGTAGTCTGTTCTATAGTCCAGAATGTAGTCTGTTCTATAGTCTAGACTGTAGTCTGTTCTATAGTCTAGACTGTAGTCTGTTCTATAGTCCTGAATATAGACTATTCTATGGTTCAGACTAAATTCTATAGTCCAGACTATATTCTATATTCTATAGTGCAGAATATAGACTATTCTATAGTCGAGACTGTAGTCTGTTCTATAGTCAAACTGTAGCCTGTTCTACAGTCAGGTTTATAGTTTTGTAGTCTAGTTTATAGACAGTTTTATAGCTTGAATTAGTTTCCCGTTTAACAGCAAGTTAACTGACTATTCAGAAACCAACCCTTAGAGTTTCTCAAGTATTAAGACAAGCGTCGTTCGTTCACGTTTATTTGCTTGTTTTGTTGTCCCTCAATATTGAATATTTTGAAAAGATATTTTAATTTCTTTTTGAAATTTTTGCATTGACCCGAATTTTCTTGTCCTAAATTGTATTTGTCGTAGTCGTCTAATGTTAATTTAGTTCAAATAAATGAGATACAAAAAATAATATATATTTTAAAAATTTATTTAAAAATCATTTCGTGTGTTTTAAAATTTTAAGTGATTTAAAAAAAAAATAATTACATTTTAATGAAGAAAATATAAATACGTAATTGCACAGAAAAATTACTCATCTTGACTAGAATAAAAATTATGTTAAGCCTTTTTTTTCAATGCTAAATGATCAATGACATTGGATTTAATATAAATTTTTCATTTAAATTGTTTTCTTAATCTTATTAATTAAATATAATTTTAATTTAATTTTTAATATAATGCCAATGCTGGTCATTAATATTCTGCATTAACATTATTTGTTTATAAATTTAGAAAAAAAATATGTATTAATTGTCACAGACAAACTGTCTGACAATCACGTAGAATTGTTTATAAACGAATTAAGTTTAAATATGTATTTAAAATTTTTACAACAATTTATAAGATAATTATTGAAATTTTTGTTGAGTGGAGAGGATAATTCAAATTAGCAAATTATTATTTTGTTTTTGCTTGTGTGGTAATTTTTTCTTAATTTTATTAGACAATAATGACAGAAGACAATGGGGGACCACCATACATATTATTAATATTAGTTTTTTTGGTTTTGTTTTTATTTAAATACTGATTGACGTTGACATGTGTTTTTGTTTAAAATAGAAAATATTGTCCATATTACGAGTATTTTAGTTGTATTATTTTAAATTATATTTTAATTTTTCTTTTAATAACATCTGTTGCAAATTTATTTCAATTTGTTCTTTCTACGTAATGTACGGATTCTTTAAATTAAAAGGAAGGATTTTCTAACTAGTGTATTGCGCATAGAGTCTGAGATCATTTTTATTTCAAAATAAAAATCCTAGAAAGTTTAATAAATCTTTAAAATTTAGTTTTAATCGATAACACGCGAGACTATAGAACGTTCTATAGTCCAGCATATTCTATTGGGAAATCTAGAGACTTTTCTAAAGTTGAGAATAGACTTTTCTATAAAAAGATCTCAGAACTAAAGAACTGATTATTATCATAAAGAAGAAACATTTTGTTCTAATTTTCAAATCTATCTATTCAATACTATATAAATCAATTAATTTGTTACACAAAATGAAATATGCAATCGTGCATTGAACCTTTTGCGTTCACTTTCAAATGGATTCATGCCAATATAATAAAATTTCCTATAGACCTTAAAATTGTGCGTTTCACATACAAGCATTTTGAAATATAAACACGAGCAGGAAGTTTATACAACTTAAAAACTCGAGACGTTTAAAATGGTGTATTATTTTGAAAAAAAAAAAAAAAACA